TCTTATGTCCATCAGTTCTAGGACTTCTGTCATCCATGTATTGTAGTTGTATAGTATATCTTTGTATATTTGTGATTGTTGTTTTGAAGGTGTGCCAAATACTTTCTATTGTTTCTTCTGCTTCCGCGGGTGCTCCACTAAACTTTTCTTTGAGTAATCATTGAGTTTTTTCTCTATTTCTTATTGGATAGGGCACCATAAGAAGAAGATGTTTGTCTGTCCAGATCCAGGCTATCTAACTTCACTGACTCCGGAATGTTGACTACCATTCTTTTTATTTCTCTCGCGATGTTATGAGATTTTCTTGGCATAAAGAGAGATTTTGCATTGTAGGTTCCCATTTTTAACTTGTAATTTTTGTTTTTCACTTTCGTGTGGTTCCTAGCATTTGTCGTGGGATTCTTAGCACCCCTATTAAGAAGTCATTCTTTCCCAGCCTTGGAGTTAGTAATGACATAGCTGCTGCCCTATACCATGTCCTCAGTTGATCCGCGGTGCTTATTTGGCGAGCCTTAGTGTCGGGGTTGAGGACTTCCCCGCCCAGTCTGTCTTCTGCGGAGCGCAGAATCCCTGCTTAGTTCAGAAATCTTCCTCCACAAAAGCTAAGACCGGACACGGGAAGAAGTCTTAAGAAAGGCAAATACTGAGAGAGAACTACTCAATTTGATCAAGATACGAAAAATTGGATAACTCGGCCATATTTTGAAAGGAAAGAATACGCAATACCTCTATTGATCATCCAGGGAAAGATTGAAGGCAAGAGAGGAGAAGGTCGCAAACAAATGTCATGGCTACGAAATATAAAGAACTGGACAGGCATAAATAACACTGGCGATCTTTTGCATGCCGCAAAAGACAGACGTCTAGCCTTAAGATAAATCGCCAACGCACTAGTTGCACGGCACTATAAGAAGTAGAAGAACTTTACTTGTTTGTCAAGGAGTCAGCTGGGTCCATAACCTTCTCAATATTTAGTTTATAAATGACAAAATAAATATATTATTAATGGATTATTTCTTTATTATTTAGAACAACATATTACAACCATCTCGTCTTTCTTGCTTACATTGCTTACAATTATTATATTCGTTGACTTTTGACTTATGACTATTCGTAAGTCATAAGTTCACTGTAGCCAACCTACACTATGGTACCAATCTATACTTAACAATAGAGACCTAAAATAAAATAAGAAAGAAAAGATAGAGAAAAGATAGAACAGATCCTACACATAAGATAGAAACAAAGGAAAAATCTATTTATAGATGAAAGGATTGTAGAAAACCATAAAATCTAGAAGATATGAAGAAAGAGGAAATAAAAAGTTAAAAATGTGTCCCAACACAGATATAGTGAGTTTCGAAAAAAAAAACGACGTTTATCTGTGTAGCTTGTGAAAAAGATTAGTAAACCATATATTAAGATCTATTATTATTTTCAAATTGTAAGAGCTAAAATTGTAATACAAAAAAGTAAAATACTATAATTTGTTATAAATATAGTACACAAACATATCATTGATTGATATCGACATCGTCGTGCAAAAACAACTATCTAGCTAGATGGTTAGTCAAGCGAATAATTGGTCTCGATATTTATTTAACGTAGGTATTTACTATTTTTAGAAACTTTCATTTTTCCGAATACAGTGTTATATGGCGGGCATTGTGTAACACGCCAAATATGATATGGTTTAATGGACTAAAAAGTTCAATAACATATATGTTTTGCATAAAACTGTTACCTTGATTACGAAAGTTTAGAAGCATTGAAGTAGATACTGAATAAGTACAGTATTCGCTGAATTAAACACTACTGAAAGTGAACTTAATATTTAATAATCATTTTTTTTTTATAATTGGCCTTAAGTTAATATTGTTTTTTAAGTTAGTATTGTTAAGATATTTTCTTATGGAATTTTAATATTATTTATTATTTTTATTGGAAATCAGCTTAAAATAGGTTTATTTTCACGATTTGGAAATCAGTCTCCATTTTTTTGTTATATTTTCCTAATTGTAGGACAATTATTGGCTTATTATAGTCATGTTATATTGAAGTATTTCTTCTCTTTTATAAGATACCCAGTCTGTAGCACAGTGGGTAGGGATTTTTAAGGGAATTTTAAGGTTTCAAAATGGAGATAAAAAAAATTCGGTGCCCAACCAAACCGCCCCCACAGGAAAATTCTAGGTGCGCCACTGCTGTAGCAGCATTTCCACTAGGTATTTTTTATTCATGGTTTTCGTATTTTAGATTAGTGCTTTATAAAACAGAATATAATAGAAACATGCAATATTGTCACTGAAAATTGTACAATTTTACGGACAAAGCTTACAAAAAGTTAAAAAAAATAACAATAACAGTTAACAACCAAATCTAAGGGCACAGAAAAATTTGAAGGGGGTTGTGCAGCCCTAAATCCCCCCAAATTTTTGTGTACGTTCAAATCAAATATATTTTGATGGAGAGAGATTTCAACTCAAGTATTATTTATATTATCTTTTTAAGAATTTTTTAATTTTCCTGGAAAACTATCACATAAGCACAGAATAAATAACAATCAGAATACCCACTCTCAGATGTCGCCTTTGAAGTTTGTCAGCACGCGAACGCCATGTTTTAAACGGAAACATAGACTCGAATTGAAAATTTTGTGACAAGCTACGACAGAACTGTAGATTTAAATTTTTAGAAATTAATAATTTAGTACGTTTGAAATAATTTAATCTATGCTTCAACTAAAAGTATGAATAAAATGGTGCATATTATGTCTGTAATTGCCGTAAATAAATTAATGCGAATTAATTTGTCTATACACACCAGATAAAATGTCACAGACGGCACTGGTTCCGACTAAAACATGGCTAATTCCGTCTGCGCGAACAAGATGCGCGTACTTATTTTTTCAAGCAGAGTGGGCATTCTGATTGTTTATTATTCTGCGACGTAAGGGTGAACCTAGTTCTATTTTAAAACCCTTTTCGAATTTTAAATTTTTGCACGAAAAATGTTTGGTGCCATCTTTAAAATAAAGGAGCAATGAAAAAAAAGAAAAAAGAATTTTTAATCTTCAAAAATGCTTCAAAAGTTGTGCAAGTGTCAAATATAATAGATAAGACCAGAGATATGTAACCTCTCTTACATATCTCTGGATAAGACACACAAAAATTCTTGAAATGTGTCTTTTGTCATTCTATACGGCAATCGTACCTTAAATTACGTATGTTATTTGTCTTTGATGTTTCAAAACCCTCTTGACTTTTCAAAACTATTCCCAGATTGAAAGTCAAAAACAAAAAAGTAATGTTGATTACAATTATTATGGGTTATTCCCAAAATATTTCATTTCCATTTAAGACAAAAAAAGAAAAATTTGAAACACGGATAGACTAAGTATAGCCACTCCTACGTCAAAGCCAAAATATAAAATGAAATGACAGATCTTCAAAGATGAGATGACAGACACAGTAAATACCACACACAGTAGTGTAAGTGAAGTAGGACACGTAGAGTGATCGAATTGCATGGGCCCAGCCGTTCGTAATGGCGACGGCGCTACTAGTCACGTTAGGTATTATGACATAGCCAGAGAAGTATGACGTTGATGTAAGTGCTGTTGCCATGATTTCACTAGTTTTGCATATTTATCCAAATAATTATGACGTATAATGTACTTTATTGAATTATACTATACAACGTTTCCAAAAAACAATGATTGTAGCAAATACTAAAAAACACAATTTAAATTTACAATAACTTATTTCTAAAAAATTTTGAGTATCCACCGAAAAAAATATAAGTTAGTGGCAACATTGTAACCCACGCCTTTGCAATTTGCAAATGCAAATAAAATACATAAATTTTTATATATCTAATAAATAATAAATAGTGCCAAAAGAAAAGAAGGTACAATACCAAAATGGTATACCATTCCAAATCGAAAAAATCAAAAAAAATATTTATGGATGGGTGAAAGGAAAGGAAGTTAAAGTTGTATGAAGGGCTATTAAAGATTCTGAAGATTAGGAGTTTTTTTACAAGCACCAGGTAAAAACAGCACCTAATTATATCAAACTGTTCTTAGTAAATACAAACTCAATACTATTTTGTACATTTTGCTTCTGTAGTTAAAATTACCTATACTATATATATTTTAAAATCAATAAAACTCTTATAATTGAATTCCTAAAAGTTGTCTTTATCACAGAATTGCTAAAATTTACACTTAATTATTATCTACAGATACTCCTTGAAGCAAAAGTATTTGAGAAGGTATGGAACTTATAACAAACCAGTAGGTACTAATGAATATAGAAACATCTATATGTGTTTATCAAAAAGCAAGATTTCAAACACCATGGAAAAATTAAATGTAGATTGGTGGCAAAATTCCTAGATAAAGTTGTTCATCTGGTATAGGATTGCAGCCAATAGAGACAGCAAGCTAACAATATTTAAAGTGTCCCCAACCACACCTTGACACGGGCTTAAGGAATGAGGAGGAGAAGGATATTTGTTGCCAATACTCTAACAAAGAAAATTATACAAATAAACAAGTGTCAGGATATCTGTGTTTTATTTTGTTATTTTCGGGACTTTAGTTTGTTAATGTAATGGAAAACAGATATAACAGGTCATAAAATAATAATAAATAAAAACATTCCTATACCATAATATACAGTACATATATACTCACTCTGTCTGATATTGTTATACATTTATATATAAAAACGCGTAAGTGTATACTATATTTTTGGACAGAGGGAATTTATTTTTTGGCATAGGATAAGTTTTTATTTCTTATTTTATGGCTATATTTATTTTCCATTAAAAGCATACTTTTTGAATTTGAATTTTGCCGCCTAAAATTCAAAACCTTCGTTTTAAATTTGCCGCCAAATGACACTAGTTTCGGCCCGTCCGCAATAGGCGCTAGAAACTCTCTCCAAATATTTTTATAGGACTTACCTCACTACAGAGCTATGTACTGTGATGACAGATAACCGAGAGGTTATGTTGATTAAGATGTTTTAAAGTAGATTTTACGTGAGAAAATATAATAATAATAATAAAAAATGAATCGAAAGTCAAATAGTGTAGAACTTTTAGAAACAGAAAGTAATACGTTACAAAAAACTCTCTCGCCTGAGAACTTTAGAACTGATTCTAAAAGTAATATACTAAACAAACAGGATTCAGTAAGTATTAAATAACATTTAATTAATAAAAAATTAATGCAACCGCTATTTTTAGACAGCCTGGGGCAAAACATCACCTAGTAAAAGTTACGGATCATCAAGTTCTACTCCACAGAAAATGTAGTGTCGACTTTAGAACGAAAAAAGGTATAAAATTTAATGTAACATTATTTACAAAAGTTTATGTACTGTTTTTTTTAGGTCACAACTGATACCCTTATCCCAACTCGCCCTGATGACCCTCCACTATTACCGGGAGAAAAGGTAACTGGGCAAGCAAGAGATGTTACCTACTTATGTCCTTATCATGGACCAGCTAGGGGTATCCTTACAGTCACAAACTATAAGCTGTATTTTAGGTCAGGGGAAAAAGATATGCCGAATATTATTGAAGTTGCCCTAGGAGTAGTATGTATCTTCCATAGTTCTTATCACAAATGTTAACACTTCTTTCTTTGCAGGTAACAAGGATAGAAAAAGTAGGTGGAGCCTCTTCTAGGGGAGAAAATGCATATGGTATAGAAATTTTTTGTAAAGATATGCGTAACTTGCGTTTTGCCCATAAGCAAGAAAATCATTCAAGGAGGAATGTTTTTGAAAAGTTACAAATGTATGCCTTTCCGTTGTCACACAAACTAAACTTATTTGCATTTGAATATTCAGAAACTTTTTTGGAAAATGGCTGGACAGTATATGAACCAATAGCAGAGTTAAAGAGAATGGTAAGAAAAAATGAGGTGCCTTGATGAAGTTTAAGTAACGGTTTAAATAAACTAAAAACAAGAGCTCTTGGTTTTTATTTTATTTTTCATTTGCAACAGAAGTCTTATATGTCGTTAGATTTCATACAGATATATTAAGATGCCTTTTCATACTTACAACTTTGTACCTGGCAAAGGGTCTAGAAGACCATGTTTTATCAGTCATGGTTAGTCTTTACATAAATGCAGACAATCTTCTGCAAAATATGATCCAAAAGATACCAATTCATTTGGAAACTGTTATCACTGCTAGAGAAGGGAGTAGTCATTACGAAAGTCCTTAACATTTCTTTTGTTTCAGACATAAGTATATCAAAGCAAGATTGTTCATTTTCATTACTTATCATATTAAAGTTTATTTTTATTAATGTTAATAAACTTTAAATCACAATCAATCATTTACTAAACGATTACAAACCAAAAAATAAAAATATATTCAAATTATAGGGTAACTCTAATTTATTACTTGGCAGTGCATATTTTACTATATATGAATATATTATTTCAGGGCGTAAATAATGATATGTGGAAAATATCAAAAATTAATGAAAATTATGATATCTGTGATAGTTATCCAGCAGTATGGGCCATTCCGTATCAAGTTACAGATGATGATATTAAAAGCGTAGCAAATTTTCGAAGTAGAGGTAGAATTCCAGTACTTAGTTGGATCCATCCAGAATCACAGGCCACTATAACTAGATGTTCACAGCCTCTAGTTGGGGTAAGTATAATATTTACATTTCCATAAGAAAAATAAATAAAAAGATGTAATGTTAAGTCAATTTTACAATGATTTGTAAGCCAGAAAGAGTGGAAAAAATATGCTATTTGGGCTTCAATTTTAAGGATACTTGGGATCACACCTACGAAATAAAAACTCATATTGAAAAAGCCAGAAGCTCTTTCAACAGCCTTAGGAAGATTATCTGCAACTTATCTTTAAGTATCAATATATGCATAAGAATTCTTAGATGTTATGTCTTTAGTGTCCTCTATGGAGTAGAAAGCACCCCCATGGCAAAAGCACACATCGGCACAATATCACTTTTTTTCTTTGTCGTTAGCTATGTATATGCCAAATTACATGTCAATCCATGCGGTTCTTTAATATTTATAGCACAAACCGTGAATAAATGGACTAAAAAGGAAATAAAACTTTTCGAAACATCAATAAATTAAAATATTGGTTTCTCTTGCCTTTACTAAAGTGATTAATGCAAGATATTTTTACTTTTGATTAACAAATACTTTGTTTTTTTAAATTAAATAAATAATTTGTTTTTGGATACTAAAAGTTCACTACACACTATAAAACTTAATACTAAACACTTAAACTAAACTCTAAAAAATAACACGACCAGTAAATAACTTAACAATAACTATAACATATAACACACAATATATTAACTGAACAACCAATACGCTACAATTTGAATTTAAATAGATTGACAAGTTTGGACCTGTAAAAATGAGAATCCGTCTGGCTTGAGGCAATAAATTATATTTAAAAGCCTCTTGACGAATGAGAGGGCGAATATCAACACGTACGTTTGTTTACAGTTGGAATTTGCTGAGTGAATGTACTTTAATTGTTAATAATATGTGTTTCTCAATAAATATGTAAGTAATTAGAAGAGTGATAATTATTATCTGGCGATTTATTACACGATGGCGTAGCAGGAATGGCAATGTAGATTATTGATTATTTACAACCCTTGTTTATTATATGGCAACTTTAGTTATTATTTGGGCGGTGCCAACTATAACAATAATTTCTTTTAGGTCAGTGGTAAACGTTGTAAGGAAGATGAAAAATATGTTCAATTGATAATGGATGCTAACGCACAATCGCATAAGCTATTTATTATGGATGCCCGTCCAAGTGCTAATGCTATAGCGAACAAAGCAAAAGGAGGAGGGTAAGCAACATGTAGATCTCTTACAGAGAACTAGTACAAGGATCTTGAAAAATCGTTAGATCTTGTGTGAGATTATAAAAAAGTTCTGTTAACTAATATTTATTTTTTTAGATATGAGTCAGAAGATGCGTACCAAAACGCAGAATTGGTATTCTTAGACATCCACAACATTCACGTAATGAGAGAATCTTTGCGGAAACTAAAAGAACTAGTATATCCCAATATAGATGAGGTTAAATGGTTATCGGGACTAGAATCAACTTATTGGTTGAAACACATCAAATGTATATTAGCTGGAGCATTGCGTATAGTAGATAAGGTACTTCATTATTCATTATTAACTTGACTTACTGATTTTATTATCTGTAAAGGTATTTTAAATCTAACTCAACCTCTAGTTCTCGTACATTCTGGAAATTTCAAGGGTGTTATTTAAGCGGATGAGACAAATATGCTGTATGGTAAGGTGGGGTTCTTCTAAAAACGTTCCCCTGCTAAATGTTCGATGTTTTCTTAGACACGTTTTCCAAAACTGCTGATGCAGCAAATTTGGTTCTTGCACCCGGGCGGCAAAACCTATAGGCTCAGCCCTACAACGGGAATGTGATCCAGTCTTTCGCTATCTATCTATCTATAGCCCAAAATCTATTCATGTGTTGAATATAGGCCTCTCCCATTTGTCTCTGTCTTGTTTGTCTTTTCCACATTGGACCTGCGCTTTGCTCAATGTCATCTTTCCATCTCATTTGCGGTCGACCTCTTAACCTTTTTGCAGTATATGGTCTCCAGCGTCCAATTTCTTTATTCCATCTTCCATCCTGATATCTTTCGTTATGCCCAGCCCATTTCCATTTTAATTTCAATGCATGTTCGACAGCGTCTGTTGTTTCGGTTTTGCATCTTATCCACTCGTTCCCCTTTTTATCTCTCAACGATATTCCCAACATTTGTCTTTCCATAGCTCTTTGAGTTTTCTTTATTCTATCTAAGTTGCTCTTGGTACACGTCCACGTCTGGGCATCATATTTCAGAACAGGTAGGACGCATGCATTAAATACCTTCGTTCTTAATTTTAAAGGTTTTTTTTTTGATAGTATATGAGAGTTTTCTGAAAGCAGCCCACTCCATTCTTATTCTTCTGGTTATTTCTTTAGTCTGGTTACTTTTGTCTACTCTTATAACTTGTCCTAAGTAAATATATTCTTGGACATGTTCTATGTTTGTTCCACCTATGGTAATTACTGATCTGTGTTCTGTATTAGTCATTATTTTAGTTTTCTTTAGATTCATTTTTAGTCCTTTCTCAAGAGATGTTTTCTCTAGGTCTAAAATCACTATTCGTAGTTGTTCCATAGTTGTTGCTATCAGGAGTACATCATCGGCGAATCTTAGATGATTTAAAAATTTCTCGTTTATACAAATCCCTTTATTGCCCCAGTCTATAGATTTAAAAATGTCTTCCAACACCAGAGTAAATAGTTTGGGTGAGATTGTATCCCCTTGTCTGACACCTCTACAAATTCTAATTAACGGAGTTTGCAAATCTCGGTCTAGCTGAATTCTCATAGTGGCGTTTTGATATATATTGTGGATTAACATTCTGTACCGTGAATCTATCCGGCAATTACCTAGCGCTTCTTCCACTGCCCATAGTTCTATGCTGTCAAACGCTTTTTCATAGTCAACAAACGCTAGGTATATCGGAAGGTTGTATTCGTTGGTCTTTTCTATCAATATTTTAAGAGTGTGAAGGTAGTCGGTTGTGCTGTACCCCTTTCTAGATCCTGCCTGATCAACTGGTTGGTATGCATCAAATTTGTTGTTTAGTCTAGTTGTGATCACCTCAGTGGAAGTTTTATAGATTTGTGACAAGAGAGATATTGGTCTATAGTTAGCTAATTTTTGTCTATTTCCTTTCTTATATATCAGAATTGTATTTGCCTTGTTACACTCTTTCGGTATTTGTCCTTCAAACAAACATTTATTGAAAAGTATCTTTAGGTAGTCTTTTATCTTTTCCTCTCCTTCTTTTAACATTTCAATTAGAATTTCATCGTCTCCCGGAGCCTTATTTCTTTTCGTATCTCTAAGTGCTTCTTCTATTTCTTCTCCGGTTATGGAAGGTAATATTTCAGAGTTTACATTCATTATTTTCTTTTTCAGGTTTTGTTTAGTTGTATCAGGTGGACTGTTTTTAGAGCTGTAGAGGTCACTATAATATTCCCTTGTTATCTTAGATATTTGGGTTCTGCTTTTTTCTTTTACACCTTGTTTACACCTTTAGTTTAGTACACCTTGTTTAGTATATACCTTTCGCTATATACTAACATTATTTTCTGTAATTGAAATAGAGGTGTTCATGGCTGACCCACGCTTTCAGGTTAGTGTTACAATGGTTTCAATTGTCTTTCCAATCCATCTTCTTTATCGCCGATCTATCTTGCTTCAGAGAAACAGAAAGTTTCTCTCATATTTTCAGCCCTCTTCTGTTCTCGTCGTGTCCAGTTTTTCGTTTGTTTGATCATGCATATTATCTTGTTTCGTGAAATTATAATTAAATAAATTATTATTGTTCTATAGGTAGAGAGCCACAAAACGTCAGTCTTAGTTCATTGTTCTGACGGTTGGGATCGAACCGCCCAGTTGACTGCCCTTGCCATGTTACTGCTAGATCCGTTCTATAGAACAATCAAAGGATTTGAAATATTAATCGAAAAGGAATGGTTGTCATTTGGCCACAAGTTCCAACAGGTAAGTAACCTCAATAGTCTTTTTTCAAAGTTATAAAGAAATTAATAAATATCCATACTGAAGCGCAGTCAGAAGTACCAGCTAATTCAGCTTACTTTGCTTGGAAAAACTCAGTTAAACTCAGAAAAAATATTATTGGCACTATATGCACTCAAGAGAAGCACTATTTGCGTTTAAGAACCTTTATCAAAGATGCTTAGGAATTAAATAAAACCTGTACGTATGATTCTTTTACTACAGAAGTTCCTTCGATAGAGTTTTGCATAATAAACTAATGAAAACCCTCAAAACCAAAAACTTGGACGAACGAGAACTTCCTTTTAGGCAAGAAGCTAGGAGGCAAATAACTCACCATATCGACAATGGGAGGCAGTGACGACCGTACATTTATTCAGATCAGCTGTAAACATGCACAAAGCATAGGTACCAACAGAATAAGAAGAAAAATATTACCATTTAACCCAATACTAATAAAAAATAACACATTGTAACTTATATTTATTTTTCAGAGAGTCGGCCATGGAGATGACCACCATTCAGACGCTGACCGTTCCCCAATCTTTTTACAATTCATAGACTGCGTGTGGCAAGTAACGCAACAGTTTCCAAACGCTTTTGAATTTAACGAATCTTTTCTTATAACTATCTTGGACCATTTATATTCATGTAGATTCGGCACGTTTCTCTTTAATAGCGAAAGAGAAAGAGTTGTAGACAGTAAGTATCAGTTTTTGTAGGGATATACTATTGACTTATTTTCCTCCAGACCTTAGGTCACTTGAATATAGACAAATAAATTGATTTAATAAAATTTACTATCAATAGTAATAGTTGAGTTCCAATTATTGATCCTGTTATCGGAAAGAACAGAAAAATACAAAATTGACAATTGACATTGACAAGTAGTAAATTAATTAATCAAAAATATTGACTGGTTGTCTTTATATCAATTTTTAATGGTCTTCGAATAACCTAAATATATTTTTCCCAAAAATAATTATTTAGTAAAAAAAGTTTACGAAATAAAATATTCTGTTCTTCTATATTTTCCTATTTTCTTTATTTCATTATAAAAGATTGTGAATAGATCACATATATCGTGTAAAATATCATCATGACAGGCTAATATCATTTTTGTTCCATGTTTTGTGGTAGAAATGAGCACTTAGTCGAAACCTGAATTTCCTAAATTTTATAATACCTGTTTCATCTTGTAATCACTTCTTGTGAATATAAATTAAAATCAACTTTTCGTTCAACGTGTTGCTGATTCTTTCTGTCAAGTTTGAGGCCGGTTATTTGATCTGATGAAACTTGGCTAAATAATGAAGTTCTTTGCTTCCTGTTCTTACATTATCTGTACGTCCGTTTTTACTTCCAATTTTCATATATGGTACACATTTCGCATAAATTTGTTGTGGAAACTTGCGTACGTTCAATTCTGTGTACCAGTGAATTTTAATAGACATCTGAATACCTGTATTTTTCAATATCTGTATTTCTTGCAGACTGAAAGTACAAATACTTTTTCACTGATCATTTACATATTTTTTTGGAATTTTTAACAGTAGCCGTATGTCTCTAAATACTTCCCAAATTATTCAGATCACTCTGGATAGTTTTAAATCCAATCTAATGTCTATAGATACTTCCCAAATCACTTATTCTTCTCTAGAAACTTTCAAAATCAACCAGATTTATCTAGGTACTTTTCAAACCATATATTTGCCTCTAGGTACTCTTAAAATAGCATAACTCTTGTAGCTACTTCTCAAACTATTCATTTATCTCTAAGTATTCTTTTGGGTACTTGCCAAAATCACTCATTCGTCTGTCTAAGTGTTGTGTCTCTGTAAACTTCCCAAATCAGTCTAAGTATTCCTAAAATCACTCAAGGTCTCAAAGTCTCAAGGTATTTCTTACATCACTCATTCATCTTTAGGTACTTTCAAAATTACTCTAACGCCTGTATGTTTTTGCTAAAATACATACATCTATAGATACTTCCTTGTAAGTACTCTTAAAATCGCTATAACGCTTATAGCTACTTTCAAACTGTTCATTTATCTCTAAGTATTCTTTTGTTACTAGTCAAAATCACTCATCCATCTCTATAAACTTCCCAAATCTGTTTAGGTATTCCTTAAATCACTCTAACATCTGCAGGCACTTCCGAAACTCCTCGTACGTCTCAAGGTATTTCTCACATTACTCATTGATCTCTAGGTACTTTCAAAATCACTCTAACGCTTGTATATTTTTGCCAAAAGACATACATCTATAGATACTTGTTTAATCACTTATTTATCTCTAAAAAGTTTCAAAATCGGTCATTGTTTATAGATACTTCGCAAAACATTCGTCCTTATAACTATCTAGGTACTCCTCAATTCATATGTATGTCTCTAGCCACTTTTGAAATAACTCTAAAGTGTGTAGGTATCTCCCAAATCATTCGTTCGTGTCTAAGTACTCATAAATTGCTCTTATGTACTTCCCAAACCAGTCACACACCTCTAGATATCTCCTATATCAAAAATTTGTCTCTAGTTACTTAAAAAATCATATAAATATGCCTTTGCAGGTTACTGTCCAAATCATGCATATGTCTCTAGGAACAGCTTAAAATCACTCATAACGTTATAGGTACTTACTACATACTTTTTAAATATTTCGTACTACCAAAATCACTCATTCATTTCTAGGTACTTTAAAAGGTTACTAGTACTTGTATCTCTCTAGATGTTCCTAAAATCACTCTAACATATGCATGTACCTCCGGGACTACTCGTATGTCTCGAGTTACTTTCCATATCACACATTTACCTCTAGATACTCGCCAAATCACCTATTCCATTCTAGGTAGTTGCAAAATCGGCTATTCTTCCTATATCCTTTACAAAGCATTCATTTTCACTCAAAAAACCAGCCGTATGTATCTAGGTACTTGTAATAATGTATATGTCTATAGGTACTCTTAAAATCACTACAAGATCTGTAAGTATTTCTCAAACCATTCATACATCTCTAGGTACTTTCAAAATCAGGCATGCATCTACAGGAAGGTTACTTCAAATCATTCAAATGTCTTAAATACTCTTTGAATCGCTATAAAGATGTAAGTACTTCTCACATCATCCAAAATCACTGTAGGTACTTGAAAGAGATTTCTAGTATTTTCATAACCATGTGTATGTTTCTAGGTACTTTTCAAATCACTGTTACGTTTATAGGTACCTCCCAAACTACTTATACATCTCTAGATAAATTCCAAATCATTCATTCGTCTCCAGGTCCTTTCAGAATCATATGTATGTCTGTAGGTTATTGTGTAAAACAAAAGTATGTCTCTAAGTACTCTTCAAATGACTCTTATAATGTAGGTACTTCTAATGTACATCTTTCGAATATTAGAAAATGCCATTCATCTCTAGGTAATTTCATATATGTACGATCAGTATATGTACTTTAGGTACTCTTAAAATCACTAACGCGTGCCCAAACCGTAGCTAACCCTAGATATTTTCCAAACCATTCATGTATGTCTAGGTTCTTCCCAATCCATTCGTCCATCTCTCGTGTATTTTTGGAATTAGTACTTTATTATATTTAGGTACTCTGTGTGATGTACCTAAAGACAAATATATGTATCTGTGTGGTTTAAAGTATTATTATGATACACCATGAGCATGCATGTATATGTACTATGATTTCTTTTGTGTTTTAGAAGTTAAAGAACAGACCATATCACTATGGTCATACACCAACAGCAATTTGAATCTGTACAGAAATCCACTTTATTGGGCGAATCCTTTGCAGCAAGTTGTTTTGGTACCTATAGCTAGTATTAGACACATTAAGTTATGGAAGACTTATTATTGTAGATGGAATCCCAGTATGAGGACGCAGGTCAGTATGTTTCGATATAGTCTCTTATAATAATAACAGAAAAATAGTATTGAAAATAAGTTAGGAGCAGAGTAGAAAGCACTTTTATGATTGTTAACAATAATTTGACTAAATATACAGGGACGAGATGTGAATTATTTTTACTTATTTATATTGACACATATCTAAACTTCTGGTTATCCTTTTTCTGTTATGTCTTCCTTAATATACCGTTTTTTAAACATTTATCTACCATTTCAGGATCCTGTTTATCAAAGGATACGAGAATTGCTTCTGCTGAAGGAGCAGCTTGAGCGTACCGTTGAGGACTACCGCAAAGAACAACAAGCACGAGTCCAGAGAAGCAGTGCCTCGCCCACTTGATCCATAATTGTCGAGACTTATGTCTAAAAGAGTCTGATGTAGATGAGCCTAAGTAATTCCAGTTTAAGATTAAAACTCTGGTCACTCCGGCCGTTGATCACTCTTCAAAAGGGCCACTTTGCATTTATTAATGTAGGGAATAATTTGTAAAAGGTTATAGCAAGTTTTTTCGGAGAGTTGATCACGGAGTAGTCGGCTATATTTAGTATTTTTCCAAATTGCGCACGTTTTACCCATGGCATATTAGAGATATGTAATGTCCTAGTATAAAGGATATTTTGGGATACTTTTTTATATGTATATAATATGTACTGAACAATATTTTAAGGTATATGGATATTTCCCAAAATTCGTAGGTTTCTAAATGCTTCACCAATCACTAATTCATCTCCAGGTACTTTTATATAATATATAATGTTTACTTGTTTACTCCAACCAACTGAACATTTCTAGATAATCTTAAAATCACTTAAAGGTGTGTATTTATTTTTCAAACCAAATTTCCGACCGTAGGTACTTATCAAACCACTCATACTCTATTTAAATCATTCTTTCGTTTCTAGACGCTTTCAAAATGATACATACATCTCTAGATACTTTCCAAATAATGTATTATGTTTCTATGTATTCTTAAACTACCTAGCTATTTCGCAACTAGCTGATTCAACTTTAGCTGTCTTCAAAATCAGCCCAACTAATTCCCAAATCCTATCTATGCCTCTAGGTACTCTTTAAACAATTCTTAACATCTGAGGGTACTTGATAAACTATTCGTACTTCTCTAATTAGTTCCCAAATACATGTATATGTCTGTAGATACTCTTAAAACCACTCTGACTTCTGCCCAAATCACCCATATATCGCTAGATACTCTTTAAATCATTGTTACTTCTGTAGGTACTTCCTAAACTATTTGAATGTCTCTAGGTGTTTTGCAACAAACTCATTCATATCTAAGTACTTTTAAAATCCGTCGTAGGTCTTTACGTAATGGTCAAAACATATATATGTCTCTAGGTACTCTTAAAACTACTCCAACTTCAGCCCAAACCGTAGCTAGATATTTTCAAAATCATACAGGCATGTCTAGGTACTTCTCTAATCAAGTATACATTCTATATGCTCTTAAAATCACTCTATCGCCTGCAGGTACTTCCAAATCTACTCGTACGTCTGTAGATACTTGCGAAACCTCTCGTATGTCTCTAGATTCCCCTCAAACTACTCTAAACAATTACCAAATCACTTAGTGGTCACTATAACAGTTCAAAATCTTCCAGGCATCTCTAGATATTTCCAAATCATGTATTAGGTTTTTGTGTGTTCTTAAATTAACTTTAACGTATGTAGGTAGTTCCCAAACTACTCATGCGTCTCTAGATACTTTTTAAATTATGTAAAAACCACTCTAATATGTGCTAAGCCGCCCATACATTTCTAGACACTTTTAAAATTACTATAGCACCAATCACTCATCGGCAAATACTTTCGGAATCATCTAGTCATGTCTAGGTAATTTCAAATGATGTATACGTTACTATATACTCTTAAACTCACTCTATCGTCTGCAGGTACTTCCAAAGATACTTCTAGATTCATGTATATGTCCCTAAAAACTCTTAAAGTCGCTCTAATGTCTGTAGATACTTGCTAAATCTCTCATATGTCTCTAGATGCCCTCAAACTACTCTAAATCGTTCCCAAATCACTTAGTTGCTTCTATGGCACTTCTTAATCATCCATACGTCTCTAATCACTTCCCAAATTATGTAAAAACTACATACTAAACTATGCCTAAACCACCCATACATCTCTAGAAACTTTTAAGAGTCACTTTATCCAGTCTATAGTGACGTCCCAAGCTACTTGTAAGTTTGCAAGTATTTCCCAAATGAATTGGAAAAAATCATCATATATACTCTTAAAATCATCCATGAATATGCAAGTACTTTACAAATCATGTATGTGTCTATATATACACTTTAAATCACTTTACCCGGTAGTACAAACTACGCGTACGTGTCTAGATACTTCCAAAATAACTTATTTACCTTTAGATACTTTAAAAATTAGCCATACCTCTCTAGATACTTCCCAAAGTAGATATATGTTTCTATGAGCTCCTTAAATCTTAATCACTTTAACATCTGAAAATATTCCCCAACTATTTATGCATCTTTGGATACTTTCCAAATTATGTAAAACTCACTCAAATGTTTGGAAAAACCACCCACACAACTGTAGATACTCTTAAAATCACTTTAATTTCCATAGATACTTCAGAAATTTGAAGTATCTATGATGTATAACATAGATGAATGTTTATGTACTGCCTAAATCATATAATATACGTCTAAATATACACTTAAAAGTACTTTACCGTCAGTAGGGACTTCCCGCACTACTCGTATGTCTTTAGATACTTTAAAAATGACTTACTCATATTTAGGTACTTTCGAAATAAGTCGTATTAATTCATGTTTATGTCCATAACCTCTTACAAAAATTCCCAACAGTTAAAATCGAACGAAAGTGTATTATTTTATTATTTTAATCAGTTCTGACACTTGGTAGTTTTAAATTGCTCCGACTATAGTGTATGAGACTACTAATAATAAAATCATTAAGCTGATAGTGGCTTGACATTGACCCAGAAAACCAAGTAGCACTAACGTAGAGATAAAAAGTCGGAATTGTTTGAAATAGTCTGTATTAAGAAAATAGATATATACTATTCTTCATAATTATGGATATACACATATTTTCTACCTGTATATTGCTTATTTTGATCATAAATATTGTTCCCCTGTTAACAATTCCCTTCTTGTATGTTTACTAAGATCGTACTGAAGCCAATATCAACTTAATTCCAACCGTACTAAACGACCGTCTTTAATAACAATATTTTATTTATTTTTAACCACTATTTATATATATTATTTTGTAAAAATGTTAATCCTAAGTTTAAATGTTTGTATTCTATTTGGTTTTTGTAATAAAAAAGACTTTAGTTGTTCACAGCAACCAAAAAATTTAGTTTTTAAAAACAAACACAATATGTTATGTTACTTTTGGAAATTATTAAAAAGTATTACTGTCTTATTTTTAGGGTATATAATGTACATTGAAATAAATATTTACCAAAGATATTTCGTTTTTTTTTTTCAACGTTATTTTTTGGATCTTAATCAACGATTCGTATAGAAATATTCGGCGAACTTTGTAGGTGAAAATTGGGGATTGTTAAATGAATATGTGTCCTAATATAGACAACGTAGCCCAGGGAATGGGCCTAATGAAGTTCTCATCATTATGGGCGATTTTAATGCCAAGATTGGAGCTGGAGATAAGACACAGTACATTGGAGCACATAGGCTTGGAGTCAGAAACGAGAGAGGAGACCTTAGATAATAATAAAATTAGATATATACAAAAAATTTACAATTATATCCGATGGATGCAATTATCAAAATTGCAATAAGGTACTAGCTAGTGCTTTAAGCGATTTAGTAATTCAGAAGAATATTTTAATCCAACAGCTGTTCCTTGAGAAATGCCATACAATGATGGAATGCGACAGCGTTAATGCTACACTTGAAAAACATTTTGTACCTCCCATAAATTCTCCTAGTGAGTACATAGCTCAAATGAGAAATGCGCGGCCAACACAACCTTATAATAGTAAAGTTTTGGACCACAGCTTTTTTTTTAATTTTGAGAAATTGCCAAGTAATATTCAGTCACTGCGATCCGGAAAGAAGGCGGGGGAGCCCTCCGTGACTGACCACCGAGCTCTAGAATATCGTCCTGACGGAGAGATTTTATTCAAACTACGACATTCCGACCCATATAAGCTACTACCACAACGAAGACTAAAACTTACAAAGACCGATCTAGCTATATTTAAGTCCTATTCCAATAACCGAATTGAAATGGAAATGCCTACAAGACCTTAAACTTGTATTAGAAAGAGATCATTATAGTTTTACGATAACCTGCCTTATCAGCCGGATAAGAAAACAAAAAATAAACATTAAACTTAGTTAAACCTCCTATGTGTCATTTTCAAGTAGGGGAACCTGGCCCAAAATGACATACTAGGGTAAAATGACACATCCGGTGTATCTCTAACTTGGCAACATGGCTATGCGCTAAGAAGTTTTATACAAGAGCATCACGTGGTGCATAATTGATGTTCCAATGGGCGTCGCGATCAGTTCAGTCGTTTACTTGTTAAAAGGTGGTTTGTGCTTTATTGAGTACCAAAATATTTTGGTAGGCGGACGTATACTTCGCTATAAAACGATTAAAACTTTAAAATTTTATATCTCTGTTAGTTCTTTGCTTTGTTTGTTTAAACAAAAAATTTATTGTAAAAGAACGTGTTCTTGTTCACACTTGGGTAAAACGACATAAAATACTCGGGTAAAATGACATAGTATGTCATTTTGCCCATATAAATTTTAATAATAATATGGTAGGTAGAATATTAATGTATGGTATTTTTCTTTTTTAGTATGGTGGGACACTACGAAAGGAAAAGTACACGCCAGTCTTGGATCCAGTACAAATGCAAAGAGCCATCCAGGCAGTCCAGTGTGGAGATATGGGCTGGTTAAAAGCATCGATAACTTTTAATGTGCCCAAGCTACTTTAAGAAGACGAGCATCAGACAAGAATAAACGGGTATCAGGTACTAATAAAGGTCTTGGCCGGTACGAAACTACGTTCTCTGTAGAATTAGAAAGAGACCTCGTAACACACATAAAACTCCTAGAATCAAGTTTGTTTGGATTATCTTGTGATGACGTTCGTTCTTTAGCCTACCAGTTAGCAGATCGAAATGGAATAGTACACCGATTTAACACAACCACTAAGATGGCTTGTTGTGATTGGTTACGAGGGTTTCGGTCTAGACACCCCGATATATCCCTTAGAAAACCCGAGTCCACGTCTGCAGCAAGAGCGCAATCATTCAACAGGCCGCAAATTGCCAATTTTTTTAAACTTTTAGAGGATACTATTACAAATAACAAAATTAATCCTACACGCATATGAAATGTGGATGAATCAGGCCTATCCACGGTTCAACAACCCGGCAAAATATCTGCAACCAAGGGTCGGAAGCAAGTGGGCCTAATTACAAGTGCGGAAAGAGGGCAGCACATAACGATGGTTGCTTGCATTTAGCTCAGTGGGGAATTATGTTCCACCAACACTTATATTCCCCAGGAAAAATTGGAAAAAAAGAATTAATAGATGAAGCGCCTTTAAGAACTTTAGGAATAGCACAGGAAACAGGATGGATGACAGGCGAAGTGTTCCTAACATGGATGAAATATTTTAAAGAATATTCTAATCCTTCTATAGAAGACAAGGTTACGCTGTTGCTTGATGGGCATGCGAGCCATAAAAACATTAATGTTTTAACTTTTGCCAAAGAACATGGAATAGTGATATTGTGTTTTCCGCCGCACTGTACCCATCGCCTACAGCCGTTAGATGTATGTTTCTTTGGTCCATTAAAGAGCTACTATGATCAAGAAGTTACCAAGTGGATGAAGTGTCATCCAGGCAGAACAGTTTCGCAATACCAAGTTGGAGGATTATTTGCTACAGCGTATGGAAAAGCAGCTACACACCAAAATGCCGTTAGTGGATTTTTAAAGACTGGAATTTGGCCCCTTAATCCCGACATATTCCCTGATTATTTATTTAATCCTTCCAAAATAACAAATATTCAAGAAGAAGTTGCAATTTAACCCCTAACAGAGTCAAAAGAAGAGAATGATAATGTTTTGCGACATCAAGATTTTCCAGATCAAGGAAACAAATCGGTTTCTACACCTAGACCAAACTCACTTGAAAGTTGTTCTTCAATTAATCCTGGTATTCGTTCACTTGACATTTCACCTCTTCCATCGTGTTCAGGTGTCCAGTCACGCTCCAAAAAAAGAAAATCAGAAGGAACAAAAGTTCTAACGGCTACCCCAAATATGAAAGAACAAAAAGCCAAAGCACTCGAGAAGCGAGCTACAGAAAAAAGTCAAGCTGCAAAACGAGCAATTAAGAATCTGACTTTAATGACACAAGATCGCGAGGAGGAAACAAAGACCATTGTGTCAGATGATGACGAAGACAAAAATAATCCTCCATGTTTATATTGTAACAGTTTGTACTCCCATTCAAGGTCCAAAGAATTCTAGATTAGGTGCCAAAAATGCTCAAAATTGTCATACTGTGATTGTGCTGGTATCTCAAAATCGTGCAAAAAATTTATTTGTGAACTTTGCTAATTTAGTTTATATGACATTTTATCCATGTTTTTAGCCGAATATACTTGGATAAAATGACATAGCAACGTTTATTTTGTTTCCTTTTTTAATTAAAAAATATTGTGTTGTTAGAGTTTTATGTTCCATGATCTGTTCTACTTCCAAACAATGAACAACATTTATGTTTTTTTAAATTTTTATTAAAAAGATAAAAAAGTTATTGGACGACAAAAAAGTAGTATGTCATTTTAGGCCAGGTTCCTATATTAAAAACTCGTATGTGTATGTTTTACTTTAATTATTAAAGTTTTGTTTCAAAATTACTTTTGCTTGTTTTGTTATTGTCTTACGTCATTAAGAAAAGCAAAAAAATTAAATTTAACACTATAAAATGTCATTAAGTCGTATAATTTTTATAAAAACGTGTTTTCTTTGTCTCCTGAAAATTTTAGGTTTCAACACATAGCAGATAATACCTTTTACATATTATCTGTTTATTCCAAATATTTCATAAAGCCTCCATTAAAGGGTTAATGTCACAAGAAAAATCTTATTTCACTGGACTATAGAAGATAAAACGGTTTGGCAAACACTGTTGCTATAACGCCAATAATTGTAATAGGACCTATATCAAATTTTAAATAATCTAACCTTTCAGTAAATAAAAATTGTCCCGTCTGCCCTTATCTCATAAAAAACTGTGTCATCATTGTAATAATTGATAAACCACAGGAAAAAATATTATTTAATAAATGAAGCCGCACCTGAAAATGATAAAAGCTTATCTTTGCGTATTATCACTCGGGAAATTAAATATGTTGGAACTAGTCTATAATTAATTACCACGACGCTAATGTTTATTGTTTAAGTGTTGTTACAAAGTGAAACAATGTCAATCAATAGTTATATTGCTAAAATTTCCGTGGAAAAACATGACAGCAAAGATCAGTTTTTGTATGATCTGGATAAAACTAAATCTTTGTGTGAAATTATCCACGATATCTGTAAAATATGCGGAATGGTAAGCTTTACACCTAAAATTATTTTATTTTTTGGTTGTCTACAGTTGATGTTTGTTTATCTAATTAATTTATATATGTAGTTTATGTATTTATCGTAATAACAATTATTCGTTTAAAATTATCAAAATCTCGATTGATTGGGTGTGACAAAATCGATGAATCATTCATGCGTTGATTTAAAGTATGTGTTAAAACTATTGAGAATTAGCAATAATTCTGACACATTATAACTTTTTGTAGTACCTTTTTTATAAGTATCTAAAGATTACAGGAGATAAATTATTTTCACCAACTTCTTTAAATCTTCCTGATTTTTCTGTAATCTAATAGCAACAAAAATATTGGAATTTCATGAATTGCTCTTCTTCTCTCCATTGTAACGGGATTGTCTTCAATGTCTCTACCTCTCATTATGTGCCGTACATTTTCTTCTCAGACAACTGAAGGGCTTACCCTTCTTTTTTGTTGTGGTATGTAATTTAAAGCTTTCTTTGGCCATCTGTCTTCATTTATTCGCTTCACGTGACCATACCACACTAGTTGTCTCGTTTCAATTCTGTCTACACTGGAATATACAGTATTTGTCCTTCTAATATCTTCATTCCTGATATTTGGATACACACGCTCTCCTTAGAAAATCCATTTCTACTACTTCTATTTTTTTTCTATCTTTTTTCATGATCTGCCAAACTTCTCCCCATAAGTCATAATAGGCTCTACCAAGGTTCGATATATTGTTATTTTTCTTTTTTGTCTAATATCTTTAGACCATAATAGAGAGTTTAGAATGTTTACCACATTTTTCTTTGCTGCGTTCTGTTTTCGATGTCTCTTCTGGTAGTGGCTTTGTTAGATATTATAGATCCGAGATTATCGAACCGCATTGCATGTTTTTGTGTTTCTAATTTCTAACTCTGGATCATCTAACTCTCTGGTAAGATACTCTGTCTTTGACATATTCATATTGAGGTCCCATTTTTCATATTCTTTCTTTAGTTTTCTAAACATGTAGTCCATGTCTTCCTCATCATTCGGTACGGCTACCTGATTATCTGCGAAACCTGTTGTTAGACATTTATCACCGCCTATGTCTATTCCCATTCCGGATACTTGTTTCCTCCACTAGCGATGATAGAATATATTTTAAATAAGATCGAAGATAGACAATATCCTTTTTTGTATATATTTGCGATAGCATCCACATACTCTCTACTGAGACCTACTTTCGTCAATGTTTAAAACAGTTTTTTCAAAGGTACCGTATCGAATGCCTTCTCTAAATCTACAAACAATCAACATCAGTGTACGATCTTCCTGCACGAAATCCTTTTTGTTCTTCTATGTCGTCATATACCGATTCTATTAATAGTGAGCTGAGGTATACAACATTCCAATCATCAGGGATATTTTGTCCTTTTAAGCATTTGTTAAATAGTTGAATAACTTGGTCCCGGTAAGAATACATATATCTATATTTCTTTCCGCTAATTCTTTGAGTACTTCTGCTTGTTTGGTTCCAAGTCCTTGTACATTCCATGTAGCCAATATCATTTTCGATATAAGGTTGAGTGCTCGAATAAATGAAATTAAAGCAAATATCGAGCACTAATTTAATAATCAAATCTTACCCAAGTAATTTCGCTTTCTACAGCAAGCGCAGGCAAATCAGGGGAATTTCGTCAAATTTGGGCTATCCAGTAAGCGCAGAATGTAATAAACATGAAATTGGACATAAATTGTACATAACACTACATTAAAACAAGGACAAACAGTTTAAAATTATTAAAAATTATTCTACGCTCTACATTCTTGTCGGCAACAGGAGAGAGAATGGTATTTAGCGAAAAATGTATTTTCCGTTGATTTTCCTGCGCGTTATCCCCCCTAGATGAGTAACCCAACTAAACTTATTACTGTTCGTTAATGACTTAATAATATTGCATTGTTTTTGTACGTTGATTTTCCTGCGCGTTATCCCCCTAGATGAGTAACCCAACTAAACTTATTACTGTTCGTTAATGACTTAATAATATTGCATTGTTTTTGTACGTTAATCGGCGACCTTGTCTAAACCAACACTACAAACGCAGTCATATTTCAAACATGTGGTCGGCTAGAAAATATGAGACTGCTCAGTGCGCGCTGTGTTGAATGTTAAAATCCTTTTGCCCTGATGCCAAGATACTGATGGGCAGAATTTCCCCGTGCGCGGAATTCCCCGGTCTCCCCTACACAAATTTTTTAAAATAAATTATCGAATAGGGAATTAATTCAAATAATATTTCAGAATGTTTTGACATACATAGTTTATTTAGAAATGTACCATTAGATAAGACTTTAAAAATAATTAAAACAAAATTAGAGAATAATGATATACTTTACCATTAGAAAAGACTAACTGTATTAGCTATAATGGAGTTATTGACATTATATACTGATAATATCTATTTTCAACCCAATGAATTCTACAAACAAAATTTTGGCCAAGCAATGGCAAAAAGTCTAACAACGTTGCCATTTTGTTGGCGTAATCCTAAAATTAACGAACTGAATTTATCCTATATAAATTATATCTACCTATATCTTATCATTTTTAATTTATTGTTTGCCAATTTCAAGATTTATTTTCAAACCAACACTTAATTGATTGTATTTCTTAAGAATAGTATAAAGAATATCTGGCTTTTCTTGTCATTATTGAAACATTTTTAAATTTATTCTTAATAATAGCTCTAATTCATTTACCTTTTACATATATTCAAGGTATTCATTTTTTTTTCCTTTCTGGGGGCTGTTTATCTCGAGGTTACTCACAACCTTTGTTAGAGATAATAACAATTTTACTGTAACAATTATGCAGATAAGAAATGCTAGACAAACAAACTTTTATTATACATAAGTATCATTAAATAAATATTTGAATTGAAATATTTTTCCTAATATTTATCAAAATATTGTATACGCTGTAAACAAAACCTAGCAAGAGGGAAAGTGAGATTTTGTTGTTGGATCATTTTTTCGACAAATATACAACTGTAAAAAACGATATATAAAAGCGTTAAAATAAAGTACTGACTAAGCTATCCACGGGTATGGAACGTACTCTGTGAATTATTGAATTAAGTAGGAAAAATGTGCGTGTGATAGAGCCCTTAATAAAAATTAAAATTTAGTTTGAAAACTTCCCATCGTATATACCTGGAGTCACCGAGGCCGAGGGTTCGTTTCGAAAACCTACTACACTTCCGTGGTCCAGACCAGAGAACATCGAGTTAGAATCTAAACTCGATGCCAGAGAACGACACGAGAAGCGACACTCCTTTGATCTTGCGTGGGCAAGCCGCCAATGAGTGAAAATGACAGGAAAGCAACCAGCTAACTAATAGTCAGTGGGCATATCACAAAATATACATTTTTAAATAAAATTGAGCATTTATGTTGACTTTCAATAAATATGAAATATTGCACTAAAAAAAAATTACATGCAGGGCCGGCTTTTGTTGACATTCTAAATGGTGTAATTATTTTTGATTTACAAAAGATTGCAAAACTTTAAAGCTTGCTTGGCTATGAGCATATGTGCTTGGTTGTAAATATAGTAATTGTCATCCAGTTCTAGTCTGTTAAAATGTAACTGTTTATCGTAATATATTGAAATTTGGAAGGTACTGCGTCATGCACCAATGTTTTTCCTTTATTTTTTTTTGACAATAAGATTATCTTCAAAATGTAGTTCACAAATCCTATAACTATTATAAAGTATATCCATTTTTAACAATAAATCTTCTCGTCTGCAAGCTTCTATCCACATTTTGGCACTACAAATTTTTAACAGACCAAATTTTAAACAAAGAACTTTTTTGTATTTATAAATAATACTTCATTACTTACAACTATAAGAGTATTAGTATATTCTAAGTATATTGTAAGTAATGAAGTATTTAACTTTTTATATCTCATCTTAATAAATTTACAGTTTTCTCCTGATTAAGTCACAAAATTGTCACTAAATATTGAGATATACAACAAATAAAGTTTTACTATTTTTTATTTATAATTCCTATTTAAATATTTATTCCCGATATGTACTCCGATCCATATATTTGATCTTTGTTATTTATATTTAACGAATTAAACATTGACAGACAACTTTTGTATATAGCAAAAAGTAGATTAGTATTTAGTTTTTTCATAATTTAATGTAAGTTTGTTTATTTGCAACCATGTTTTTATTTTGAAGTCTTGTTCTGTTGTAATTTTAAGATTTTTCCATTTATCGGTCTAATTATGTTTCCAACAATTTTTAGTTTGAGCATTTTAGGAATTTCTTTGTTTCGTTTAAATCAAATATTCTCGTGTATAAAAGCCTCTATATATTTTTATTTCCTAAAAATACTATATTCGTATTGTTGTCTGCGAGCGCTTTGACACCAGTAGGCCAACATCTGTTGATTTTTTGACCTGAGCCTTCGGAGACAATAAATTTAATGTTTTAATTTTGAACTATCCCTTGGCAGACCAAAGTTTATTTTTTTATTGCTCTACTTAACGAGAGCTCGGACGGACACGTCGGCGTCGGCTTACTGATCGAAAGTCAAATTAATACTATTATGTAATAACTAATAATAATTACAAAGCAATAGTAATTACCTGCTTTAGTTTATAAACTTATTCCTTTTCCTGTCACAGATGAACTTTCGCGAAACGCACAACAATAACCAGAAGACATTTTAAATACTTATAAATTAAACTTTTAACTATAAACCATAATTATAAACTTATATATTAAACTTATATATTTTAACTATAACTATAAACTATAACTATAAACTTTTAACTACTAAGTAAATTAGATAAATGGTCAAATGCACTTGTATATGTTTATAGTCGAGTATTTACCACAGGTGCCTACGGACTATCGTAAACAACCAGAGTTGAAGAAAACGCACGTGTTTTTGACAGTAAAGCAACCAGGTTCGGCCATGCGTATACAAAATACGCCGTATAAATCCGGTACACGGATTTCGGGGCTCGTGTCGCTTCTCTGTGTTCGGTAGTTCTCTGGTCCAGACACTCAGCACTAAACCAGGCAGTGGCGTAACCGAGGGGATTACCCAGAAACACTCCAGTAGTTCTAACCCCCCTCAGGAGATCATCTTAGTTGCGTAGTTGAAACCAGGCAACTAGGACACCTCGTTTAGCGAGGGGTACGAAATAAACTCAAGGAAAAAGATGATTATAAAGCTATTATATTATTATAAACAATATAAATCTGTCCATTCATCTTGAAACTGCCTGTTTTCTGATTTAATTTTTCTTTTCTTCTTATCCATATTGATATGAACTTTATTACTATATTTTGAATTTAACGGCAGCCCCTCAAAAAACAAGCTCACGGTCCGCATGCGTACCTCGGTCCGCCATTTGGTGACCCCTCGATATACCTTTATTTGTGCTAGGGGTCTGAACCTTCCGGGGGGCGGTAAAAGATGATCCTGTTGTTCTATTGTTATACCAAAGAGCTTGCTATCTGAAATACGTACAAACATATAAATAAAGCAAATATGATTTTGTGTTTTAGCCAATATCATCAGTATACGGGTTGAAGATGATCCACACAAACGTCAACGACCCCACAGTAGACACCTACGTCTCGGATCAAACTTACAAGAACATTAAACATAATGATTGCCTAAAAATTGTGTTTTCCATAGAGTATATATTAAAAAGCATAATATTTCCACATATTAATGGCACCAGAGATGAACCACAGAGAGAAATTGCTTACGATCATTTAAAGAAACTAGCCCACGATTCGGTTTTCATCGATGAATTAGGTAAGTTAAATAGAAATTTTATTACATGTGAATTCATTTCTTCAAAAACTACAGGTTGAATATTTTAATAACCAGATAATCATCAGTAGTAGAGGAAAGTAGCCTAATTTCGGATAGTGTCTTAATTTCGGATAGCGGTGTATCTAAAAAAGTTTCTTTATTTGCGAACAGAAACCTATACGTATGTCACGCTGAATACCACAGAGAACATTATCTTAAATTTAGGTAGTAGAGCTGCTCCACGTTAGATGGCAGTGCCGAATCCACCAAACGTTATTGTGCAGTTTTTTTTCGGTCGTATTTCAAAGCCTATTTTTTCGTGTTTTTATTCCTGTTTGAAGTTTGATCTTTTGGCAGGGGTAAGCTAGAAACCTGTTTTATTTGATTTTGCTACTAATTTAAAGCAGATTTTAATCACATATAAATTAGAGAGCCCTAACCTTAAAAATAAAAAATTCCTAATTTCGGATAGAACAAGTCCCATAATTTCGGATATCCGAAATTAGGAACCTTAAATTGATGATCATGTTAGCATAAAAACTTTTGTTTCTTTTCAGAAGAAAATGCCAAAAACAAGTAAAAAACATAAACAATGGGATCCAGACCGAATGATACGTGCTATCCGTGCCGTCAGGGGAAAGGAAATGGGGTATCTTAAAGCCTCGAAGTTATTTGCTGTTCCGAAATCAACTCTGGAAGATTATGTTAAGCAAGAAAATAAAACTCCGGAGCAGTTGGTTGCTGTTAAAATTGGAAGAAGACCAGTACTTTCTGCAGAAATGGAAGCAGATTTAGTCTCGTATTGCCTAGAAATGGACCGGCGATTTTACGGAATTGGGACCGCTGATATCAAGAGACTTGCATATCAAATAGCTTTACGAAATGGTCTTCGTCATCCATTTGCCCATGCCAAATCTGCCGGTAAAAAATGGTTAAGGGGATTTATGAGGCGAAACGCAGTTTTGTCCCTTAGAAAACCACAAGGAATCTCGAAAGCCCGAATTAAGGGATTTACCCCAGAAAATGTCAGCAGATTCTATGATCTTTTAGAAACGTCAATGGAAAAAGTTAACTTCAACCCCGCAAGAGTTTATAACGTTGATGAAAGCGGCATAACAACGGTTCAGTCCAAGAATACTCGTGTTATAACATTAAAAGGAAAAAAACAGGTTGGATCTGTTACCGCGACTGAAAGAGGCGCATTAGTTACTGTTGTATTTTGTATGAATGCTGCTGGTGGGTTTGTCCCTCCATTATTCGTGTTTCCAAGAAAGAACATGAAAGTGGAATTATTAGATGGATCGCCGCCTGGCTCTATTGCAGCTTGCCATCCATCAGGTTGGATTCAGCAGCACATTTTTTCCCAATGGCTACAGCATTTCGTAGCTCACGTGAAACCATCCCGTGAAGACCCAGTGCTGCTTATTCTTGATGGTCACTACAGCCACACAAGAAATATAGATGTGATAGAAGCAGGACGTGCAAATTTCGTTACAATTTTGTGTATCCCGCCGCACAGTTCACACAAACTACAACCTCTAGATTTGTCTTTTATGTCACCATTTAAAACATATTATTCGCAACAAATTGAGATGTGGTTAAGGCAAAATCCTGGACGCACCATAAACTCGTATCAAATTTGTAAGCTTATGTGCCCGGCATATTTGAAAAGTGCTACTGCAGAAATTTCCGCGAATGGTTTTCGCAAATCTGGAATATATCCTTTTAATAAAAATAACTTTTCTGATCACGATTTTATAATGGAGAGACAAAGAGAAAGAACACCACCACCCATAAATCAAAATCATGGGGAAGTATTACCAACAAGAGGTCAGTCAAGACCAGAACCACAAAGCATTATCGAAAGAACACCTCCAAAACATAACTTAACAAATAAATCATCCAATGGAAATGCAACTGAAACTACGACAACTATGATAAGAGCTGAGGATATTAGTCCACTGCCTTCTTGCAGTTATACCTCACAAACAAACAAACAAAAAAATCCTCGAAAAGGTTCTAGTTGGATAATAACTAGTACACCTTATAAAGATGAACTTGAACGAAGTGTAGCCGAACAAGAAAGAAAAAAGTCTTTGAAAGAAAAGAAACCAAAAATAAGCAACGAATTAAATCAAGTCAACAGAAAAAAAACTCCACGCCAAAAAAAGTAAAAGAAAAAAATTGAATCGAGTAGTAGTGACACTTCACATCCTGGTGATGACCTTATTTTGGATGATGATTCTGATATGGATGTAGACGATGAAGATGGAGACACAGAATGTATGTTTTGTGACAGTTTATATTCCGAAGATACACACGGTGAGAAGTGGATAAGGTGTATAAAGTGCTTCAAGTGGTGTCATGAGATGTGCGCCAATGCTGATAAGAAGAAAACCTATATTTGCGACTTTTGTCAAGATGTGTAACTATTCTTATGATGAACAAAATGGTGTCTTAATTTCGGATAAGGTATCCGAAATTAGGAGCCCTAAAATTTTTGACATACAAAAGCACTAATTTTATTGAACAATATTTTTTGTAAAAAAGATTTTCAATAAATTGTCTATGATAATAAAATTAGTTTCTATATTACTCTGCAAGTACTCTTGAGTAGATAAAAGTTTAAAATGTGTTATTAGGTGAAAAATATGACACTAATTGTAAATGGTATCCGAAATTAGGCTACTTTCCTATATAGTATTACCTACATAAACAAGGTAATACAGCAGTATTACTGTATTTTGCAAGTCACGTTCTTGACTCTCATTCTCGCATTCCAACAAGTAAAATTTAAAAAAAACATTTTTCCTGTATTGAATTTAGACATCCATCTATATTGAAATCTCCACAAATATGCACTTGCATATTGTTTGTATTACTTTTGTTACTCGTGATCTATGCAGCTGTGATCATTTAGGAAATTCCAGGCCCTGCAAATCAACGTAATACTTCTGACAGTAGGATTTTGATTGGCGGGTGGAGTGGATGATATATTTCTTTATGAGAGGTCTCCAAGTCGAAGGTAACCCTATGCCGTTATCTCTTTTATTGAGACAATTTGGCCTCTTTTCCATTTATATGGCTTTTCGGATAATTCTGGGTTCATAGAAGCGGATGGGGGCTATGGTTCTGGAGTTTTCAAAATCAATTTTGTGGCCTGTAGGAAGATGGTGTTGACCTAGAGTTGAAATTGAATCGGAACTGCGAACAGAAATGGAATGTTCATAAATCCTATTTTGGATTCTACAATTTGTTTGGCCTATATAACATAGGGGGCAGTGTGCACAAGGAATTTCATAAACTCCATATTATCTATTTAGAATATCTCTTCTCTTCTTCTTTAGCCTGTATTCGTCCACTGCTAGACATAGACCTCTTCCATTTGCTTCCATTGATTTCTACTCTTGGCAATTCTTATCCACTGCTTGCCCGCGATTTATTTGATATTATTTGCCCATCTCTTCTGTGGTCTGCCTACTCTTCGCCTCTTCTCTCTTGTTGTCCAGTATTTTAATCTCTGTGTTCATTTTTTGGATTATTGCAGGCAACATGTTCGACCCATTTCCACTTGAGCCTTGCTATACATTCTGCGGCATTAGTAATCTTTGTTTTTTTTTCACGAATGTCGATATTTCGAATCCTGTCTCTCAAACTAATCCTTAACATGGCCCTCTCCATCGCTCCTTGGGTTGTACTGAGCTGATCTAAGCTTTTCTTTCTAAAGGTCATGGTCTCCAGTCCACATGTATATATATATATATATATATATATATATATATATATATATATATATATATATATATATATATATATATATATATATATATATTATATTTGTGCTGGTAATCTCGTTTTTTATATTTTAGTGGCTAAACAAAAGCATCTTGAAATAGTGAAAACTTTTACCACAGATAAAACTCTCAAAGACGAAGAGCTTTTGGCTCTACTTATAACAATTTGTCACTTATTCCTTAAAGGATACCATGACAATATGTCTTCAGATTTACTACAGAGAACTATAGATATTGTTAGAAACCAATCGAATGATGTGGACAATGTGCAATATGCTTTAGCAATTTTGCATAAAATACTGATTAATAGAAATATCGAGTTTATAGCATGGAAAGAAAAAGTGAGTATGTTTTATTTAAATGTATTTAGTATTTATTAATGATTTTTTGAATTTCAGATCATTAGAGAGATCCCTATAACATGTCTCGTCCCCTATATCCGAAGGGATGATGGTAGGAAATTACAATACGGAGTATTATTACTTATAAACACTATCATAAGGTTGTGTAAGGGAGATCAAAAGAGACACCTGATCAAGGAAATGAATTATACCAAAAATAGGGAAGATATTTATAAGTATATTATTGAAGAGGGAGATATGGATAAAAAGATGGAACACGAACTTTATGTTATACAGACCTATATTTTAAGGTATCTATACGAAGGTAGTTATATAGTATACTCTTCAGATATGCAGATTTGTGATAAAGTATCGAATCAAGTAAATATCTTCGGAACGAAAAACAATTTATTCATGAAACTTTGTATAAAAATACAATGATATATAACGCATCTGATGCCACATATTTTTTGTTACTACTATACTTCCACTTTCACCGGAAATAACGTTAACTTAGTCATTTTCTTCTTCTTCTAATGACGCTACAACCCTTTGTGGGTGTTGACCTGCTTAACAACGTTCTTCCATTCTGCCATATGGGATACTTTCCTTCGCCATTGCCTGATGTTTTGATTTTGATTTTTCTTTTTTACCATCCGTCTCTTTTAGGACTACATTTTAAATATTCCACTGAACCCTATGCATGGGATAATGAACATAGGGTTCAAATATTGAAAGAGGAAGTTATCAATAAGAAAATACCAGTATTAGTAAGTCAGTAACATACCTATAGAGGATACATCATTTATGTTTTTTAAATAACGAAACATATAAAATCAGAATTTTGGTGTTTATTGAAGGTAAACTAAATGCACGAACAAATACTTACCATGTCGGGATAGTATTATGAGGTTTTTTTCCTGGTTTTTCCCTCATAATTTACTATGGAATCATTAACAGGAGAATTTTACTGTCATCATGTCATGTGTTTGTCTTTTTAAAGACGAATTACATGCTATGATTTTTTTCTGACGGATATTCTCAAGTTAAAGTTGATTTCATGTAATCGAATGAACTATCTTATAAGTAAAGTCGTTCCAGGAGCGCAACTCAACAATATTGACAATATCATTTTAAAATGCATAATGTATGTCTGAATTGTCAATATAAATGAGTCAGATAAAATTAAATTATTAGAAGAATTTTTCACTATGTAACAAAAACCAAAATTTGTTTAATTTACTGTTTGTATTTTGAGAACGATTTCCGAAGTGAAAATTGAAACGTCAATAAACGTATTTTTATCTTTAATTGTGGCTTATTCCCAGTTAAATAGTAATTACATTAGATGAGAGTTTAGAAGAAGCAATTATACATGAAAATTACAAATACGGACTAAAATAAGTTTTTAGCTAATAAAGTGGAGATTTGTTTCCTGTTTATCTTAATTTTTATTTTGGACAATTTACTGTTTTAGTTTTCTTTATGGCAATTGTGCTTAAACATAGCATAACACACAAGTTTCTCTAGGAATAAATTTTGTTGTAACGGCAAATGTGCTTATACTTTTTGAACACAGAATTAGAGTAATAACTAGTAAATATTAATAATAACCTTAGCAGTTTGTCAATGTAAATTACGACGGTGCTTTGCTCCATCATCAGTATCGTCAGACTCATCTGCTAATATTACTTCTAAATCTTCTTCGCTTCTAATTTCAATTAAAGTACCAGCAGTTAAGGATGTTTTTAATCCTACTTTAGCCTTACAATCGAATAGTGCTTCGTATGGACTACAGCTAATGCCAGAATGGTAAGCTCTGTTTTTCAGAACTTTATGCCTTCCGACCACTGACTTGTTTTGTTTGTTTCCAGCCATGTGGCAAAATTTTTTCGATATCTTGGTTTGCTCTCTCTACCGAACATTGCGACTGGCTGTGTCTGGGTTTTCCGTGGACAATTTTCAGTTTGTCCCACATACTGCAAACTTGTTCAATAATCTTATTTGCGAATTCTCGACCATTATCACTGTATAAAATGTGTGGAGCTCCAAATATGGTAAACACTTCCAACAAATGGTACGCAACTTCTTTGGCAAGTTTGTTTTTTAATATTCTGAGCTGCACAAATTTGGTAAGATGGTCTTGATAGACCATATTAAATTTATAGTCACCATCCGCTTGTGACTGAATGTCAAAACGATCGACTTGACATCTCGAATTAAATGCACTACTTAAAATTGGCTTCACACCGAGTTCTTTTTTTAGAATACTCAATTTCTTTTAACACGGTACACAAAGATTTAAGTAAACCTTGACAAACTCCATAGTGATGTACTTATATTTCGTCTTAAATTCTTTCGTCATTCTGTTGCGGCCCCCATGTCCAACTGAAATATGACTCTCGTGAATGATATCGAAAGTCTCCTCCATAAATACATAATAAACAATAGGATCTTTGTCGTTTTTTACTGGCACGAGTTTCTCGACATTACCAATTTTTACAATATCATACCGTGATAACCATTGATATTCTTCAAGTGTTTTGTGAGAAGTATTGGCTTTGGTTGTTTTAACTTTCATTAAAAATGCATAATACTCATCTCTGGTGAATAACTGAAGATTATTTCCTTTTCCAGATTTAAGCGTATTAATTTGATCGCTAAATCGTGCTTTTATGGACTCGAAATCACTCATTGTAAAATAAGTTAGTAGGTATGCATAGAACACTCGAAAGTTCACACCGCTTGTTCAACTAAACAAAAATGTTTTACAACGACTACAGATTTACTATCACCGTGGTAATACGTGCGCCTTATTTGAACACTGGTATGTCTCAGTGACTAATACACAAACTCTATCCACGCCAACCAAGTCTGGTAGTAGCCTGGCCGTGGTTTGGGTTTAATATGCGTCGCTCCGTCTAAAACCACGTTTTACAAAATAACCCACGCGTGGGCTGTGGTCAATTTGCGCCGAGCCTACTTCCGTCCACCCCGCAAGCTTCTAAGAACTTATTGGTATTCAACATTTATCACGTTTACCGTTTGAATACGGGATTTATTAATAATAACCGGCCAATGTGATTATTTCTGGTATATTTATTACTTTTACCTAGCTATTCGGGTTGTATTAATAGTAACCGGTAATTATTAATAATAACCATTTAATCATATTTACCGTAACATATATATCTAGGTTCTTCGATTGTTTTGATATCTCATGGTATTTGTCTATCTTATTAAAGTTAAATACCCTAAAAATAATAATTATTTTGATCTTTTAGTTTGTATAATGAAGCATTAAACAGTGAAGTGAGTTTGAACGATAACAATGTATTTAAAAGAGAAGAGTTCGAATTACCCGAAGATGACATAAAAAGATTAACATTATTATTAGATTTTGATGAAGTTCGAAGTTCCAGAAATAATTCTATCGAAAACTTGCTCACCTATCAACAAGCAGAAAGGTATATTCAATATTCAGTAAGAATTAGATTATGACTTAAAATTAAATAATAACTTAACATTATATGCTCAAAATAAAATGACTATTCTATCTGTCAAAAATGAGATCCTTGTTATACCTAATAGTGTTACTTATTTAGAGGCCGGTTTAATCGCATTTATCTTTATAGATTTTCCCTGGCATCTGTAGTCAGCGATAGAAGTGTAGACTCTAGAAAATCGTCAACAGTATGTTCACCAAAAATGCGACACACAAGTTTTAACATTGATTACGAAAACCTAACAATCAATTACCTTACCTTAGAAGCATTGAGTAAGTAAAACTAAAAACCTTCTCATTGTAGCAGTATGGTTGAAACCCCTGTTTAGCAATAATTCATCATGTTAATTTTATTTAATGCTATTTATCTTTACTTAATTTTATTTAATCTTATTTAGTTTTAATTTTATGTTATTTTGGTAAAGCGTTGACGTTTATTAAACGTCATTCTGTCTTCGTCATCTTATGGAGACCATTTTTGCTTTATTAATTATTAAAATATTATTTTTAGGACATTATAAAGACAATCACAAGAAGAATTACTGCCAATCACAAATTGAAGAAAGAGTTTATGAACCCGGAATATTTGTTACCAGTGAAAAGTTAGTAAAATTTTATTTTCTATTACCTTATTGTATGCAAAGTATAGGATTGCCAATATTTTAAAAACTATATTGTTAAAAACCATAATATTCAAGCTATTATATATATATTTATATATATTTATTTATATATATAAGGATAAATATAACAGAAAGAAATAAGAACATGGAAAAATGAAAGTTTCTTTCACAATAACGACGGTTATTTTTGTTTTTGATCGTTGTCTGATTAAAAAATAATCAATAACATATTGTTATATTTTTTATAGTTCTAATTTATTGTCTTTATTATTAACACTCACGATAATTTATTATCAATTTATTAAATAACTGTACAACTATTTATTACGTTCATACATTCAAATACGCGGCTCGAATTTATCTTCTTCCTGACTGCTCAATGAAAATTTCGTCTTTATATAAAGCACCGTTAATAATCTAGAACAGTGGTTTTCAACCTTTTTGTGGCGACGGAACACTTTTAATTACCGAAAAAAATTGCGGAACACCAAAGCAATAACATGCATATATTGATAAACAAATTAGGATTAGCACATAAATTCTGTAATAAACTTTATTATACGTACTCAAATTTATAAAATTTTACTTAAAATATGAAAACAAAAAACATTTTTAAAATTAACAAAAGCGTTATTCTCAAAATACATCATATGAGTAAATACTTCAAATTAGTGAGACACTTGTGCCTGGTGTCGTTTGCAAATTTGCTCAATATCAGGCCTGATGTGGGAAAGAGCTACTCTCATTTCTTGTTCTAAGTTTAGCAGCCTTTCCCGTTTCTTATTTTTAATGTTTGTTAAAGATGAGAACCCAAATTCACATAAATAGGACGTTGAAAACTGTATTAAAATACTAATCGCTTTTTTGGCAAGAAGTGGATATTCCTCTTGGACCAAGATCCAAAATTCCTAAACATTCACTTCTGAAAACTTAATTTTCAGAGTACGATCAGATGACAACGAAATAAATTCTTCTTCTTGGTTCAGAGAAAACTGGAAATTGGCTGTATTACTTGTGCTAAAAGGACTTCTTATCCAGTCATATTTTTCTACGTTCAGAAATGGAAAATACCTGGAAATTATCTCCTCTAATAGTGATAAGTGTTCTGTAACTATATGCGTGATTTCTTGTTCTTTATCTTCATCACCTTCATTCTGAAGCAGTGGAAACATATCCATTTTATTTGTCTCTAAAATGCGCTTCTTCCAAAATGACAATTTTTTCTGGAAAGCTGACAGCTTGTCCGTGGATGTTAAAATATTTTCATTTTTGCATTGCATACTTGAGTTAACGCCATTTAAATAATTAAAAATATCGGCCAAATATGCCACTTTAGTGCACCATGCATCATTTTCAAAATATGTGGTAAAACCTTCTTCTTGGAAAAAAGTTAACAGCTCCGTTTTAAGTTCATAAATTCGACATAATACTTTGCCCCTTGACAACCATCTAACTTCGGTATGCAGCAACAAACATTCATACTTTGATTCCATTGAGATGCAGAGTTGTTTAAAAAGACGGGGTTTTAGTGGTCTTGATTTGATGTAATTCACGACATTAACCACTTGGTCTAATACAGATTTAAAAGTAGCTGGTAGCGTTTTTGAAATTAGAGATTCTCTATGCAAGAAACAGTGCGTAGATATGATATTTTCATTTGGCTTTTTTGCAAGAGTATAAAAACCTTTTATGGAGCCTACCATGGAAGGGGCACTATCCGTACAAATTCCTACGCAAAAGTCCCATGATATATTTTTTTTCTCTAAATATGACGTTATAGAATCAAATACATCCTGACCTGTTGTACCTACTGTAAGTTCTCTGCAGCATAAAAACTGATTGACTATTTCACCTTCGTCGACAAATCGAATAAATCCTAATAAATGAGCTTTGCCACTAATATCAGTGGATTCGTCCACCTGCAATGCGAAGTTTTTTTTGTAAAGTTTATTTGTAACTTTTTCCTCAATATCTGCAGATAAATCAACAATCCTCCTTCTTATTGTATCATCCGACATAGGAATTTTCCGTATTTCGTTTTGTGCATCGTTGCCAAACATAATTTTGACCATCTCACAACATACTGGTAATATAAGAGATTCTGCAACAGTGTGTGGTTTCTGTTTCAAAGCAATTAATTCGGCGACCTTATATGAAGCTATTTGTGCTTTGTCGGAAATTGTTAGCGACCTTTCAAATTGTTTCGCTTATGTCTAAAAAAAGTCGCTTGAAATAATCTTTATTTTTTGAAGCTACACTAGCATGTTTGGTAGTAAAATGGCGTTTTAATTTAGCCGAAGCCATTGCGCTATTAGCGAGTGTCTGCCCACAAACAATACACTTGGGAATTGGACAGTCTTCTTCCCCAGTCCAAATGAAGCCATAATCCAAATATTCATCCAAATATTGCCGGTTCAACATTTTTTTGCTGCGCTTCGATTTGTCATCAATCCCACTTCGTAAAGTTCCAGCATCTCCGCTGGTGCTCGCTTTATCATCATTAATTATGAGTTGTTCTACAGTAGTTTTTCTTTTAAGTTTGAGGAACTTATCCATTTTAATTTATTCGTCTCTAAACAAAATAATGCGGATAAATGCTTCACATTTTGTATAAAATATGCAATTACTTACCTTTGATAGATAAGCCGTACGTAAACGTTATCATAAAAAAACTGACACAGCGATTTTCACGTATTACGTTTGTGCAATGTAACAAATTCAACATTCAGTTACAGACTGTGACATGGGTAACTCAGATTGGCTGTGGCCACTGCGGAGCTCAGCGCTCAGCGCTTATAAAATCCAACGTGTGCACTGTGCCGACGCGGTGTTGTCAAGTTGGGAAAATGAACATTTACGCTGCAGAATTTTATTAAATTAAAATGTACGTAAGTGGCTATTTTAAAATTTGAAAATATTTATTTGAAAAGAGTAATTTAGCAAAATGGTATGTAGGATTGCGAGTATTTCGCGGAACACTTGGAAGGAATTCGCGGAACACTAGTGTTCCGCGGAACTCCGGTTGAGAACCACTGATCTAAAATCTCGTCAAAGAATGTCGACCTTCCTGACCCTTGTCGAAAAGACTGGAATGTCACGTCATAGTGGTATTTTTAGTCGAGGAGAGACCCCATGGATGTTGACCTGAATTGCCTCGAACTGGAACTGTTTTTTTTTATAGCCACTCGGCTCATTGTCGGTCAGGTAGGTATTACCTAGAACATTCATGAATGAATAAAAACATATTAGTAAAATATATTTACGGTTTTGGGTCAGAATTTATCGTAACAATATTTTATACTTTTGTTCCGTATAAAAATAATAATAATATATAAACTATACTATTTATTTGTCTATTTGTCAATTTGTCTACATATCTTTTACAATATACTAAAGCAGTTTGTTATTTTTAGAGTAGTAAAAATGTTGGCCAAAATATTAGATATAGGCTTAGACCCACCTGATTCTAAAAAGATATTCTATCAGCCAATCGTCTTCAATTCTTCAGCTAAAAATTCATTTTTCCTGGAGCTCTTCTCTAGAACTATGTGGTTGTTGTCCAGAACTAGGCGAGAAATGAAAGTATCAACAATTGAAGATTATCCAAAAGTAAAAATTGTATTTTTTATCTCTCTATTTAACTAAACATTAATAATTTTTAGTTGATGAGGGCGTTAAAGAAGCAAGTCAAAATGGTTCTCAATAAGAGGCCTTTAAATTTTAAAGAACTGACAACAGATATGACTAACTTGAATTTTGACGCAGTTTTGAAGAAGTGGCAGGTAAGTTCAAATAATTCCCAACGTACAAAATTTACAAGATTATATTATTTTATTGACGTTACTACAAAATTATTCTATGAAGTTCTCTCTAGAAAAAATTGCTTACTTTGTGCCATTGAAGAAATATAGAACTTTAACTTTTCCTAAGTGGTTCTCTGCTGATCTTAGAAGACTGACTCTGGGGAAAAAATATGCTCATTATATTTATGTTAATAATCATTCTGATGATGACTATATTAGATTTTCCCACCTAAGAGCGGAATGTAAACAACTGTCTGAAATTTGCTTCAGCAACTATATTAAAGCTATAGATACTGGCCTAAGAAATGATCCAAAATCATTTTGGAAGTACATCAATGATAAGCAATTTAGTCATAACCTACTTAACTCCTTATTTTATGCAATCTGCAACAAATGATCAAGACATAGTTAATTTATCTATAAACTTCTTCCAAACTGTATATTAACTTTAACCTTTACGTACCTATCCATCCATTAAATAGCAACTTTAATACAAATATTTGTCGTTCTAAGATTACCATGACTGATATTTTTAATGGCATAAACGAGCTGACCAATAAGCTTACTGCTGGCCCAGAGTGAGTGCGTAATTTTTTATTATAAAAGTGTGTTTGTACTCTCGTTATGTGTTATATTGTTTAATTGATCTCTGGAAACTGCTATGTTTCCTTCTTCATGGAAACAAAGTTATGTTCTTCCTATACAGGGTGGTGAATCGTCAAACGGGCCATAGGAAACCCAGTGAAAAAATTCTAAATTGTTGAATTCCTGCTTCCCTAATTATTGTACACCAACAGTCAAGAAAAACTATTTGTAGAGGACTTAAATATGTATTGAAAACAAATGTTAAAATTGTTCTACGAATTAAACATATTCCAAAATTTTGCAAGACTATAATACATTTTTCAGGCCACCCCTTAAAGTCAGGCCACACGCTGTGCACGAATGTGTATGACATGTTGCGTTTGGTCATATTGATTTTTCTGATATTTGAATTGCCAAAATCTTTATTTTGTGATTTATTGTTTAAAAAACAATAAAGTTGATTAAAAATGTATTCTGTTTTTAGATATCGCAATAAACCTGTACAACCAAATTTCTATCTTCACCGTCGAATATTCCATGCACCGTTTGTATCGATGCAGAACATTTTGTTATAAAAAAATTGTATAACAAATAGATATATACTAACCAAACTTATTTTTCAGGAAGAAAAAGATGCAGAGCTCAAGGAACTTCTAGAAAACCATCCTTGTATCAAAGAGTTAAGAGAAATATATTTAAAACAGAATGAGCAATATTTATTTCAAAATAGACTGAAAACATTGAAAACTGGTGAAAATTTTCACAGATATATTGATAAGGTACTTATGTAAATAAGTTTTACTTTCTATTACTATACAGGGTGAGTCGTGAGGAACTATGTATACCGGGTGGTGAATCATCAAACGGGCCATAGGAAACTTAATGGGAAATTCTACACTGTTGAATTTCTGCTTCCCTAATTATTTTGCATCAAAAGTCATAAAAAACTATTTGCAGAGAATTGAAATCTGTATTACAAACAATTGTTATGTGTTCTACAAATTAAAACACATTCCCAAATTTTGCAAAATATAATAAATTTTCTACAAAAGTGTATTTATCCAATTGTACCCCACCATGGGGTAGATTTGTACAGCTGTGGAACACATTTGGACCATTCAAATAAACATTTGTTTAAGTCTTATAAACAAAAAATAATATAATACACAAAGTGCTTACGAATGATATCTATTGGTTATAACATGAACATATTTGACAAAGAAGTTATTTAATGTTGTAAAAGGGAAAAATGAGGTATTGAACTTTATGTAAGACGCTTAACGAGATGTTCCCTTGGTTTCTAAAGGTATAGGAAGTTTTACGACAATATCAGCTCTGAATATAGTGCTAATATCATTTTCAGTAGGATAATAAAAGCCACTGTTCAGTTTGTATCGTAAAAATTTGATTGTTAGTTCCTCATCCACTAGTTCTTCTACACGGCCCACAAAGTAACAACCGTTTCCTTTGTTGCAAATTTTACAAAAACGAAGTCGCCTACAATAACTTCTTCATCATCTAAAAGACCATTTATTGCCTCCTAATCACTGTGCACATCTATATCAGAATCTGAATTGCAATCAGACATCGTAGTGCATACGTCAGATTCTGCGGAACTGGAGTAAGACGATTTTTCCTTTGTCTTTTTTTAGCCTTCTTTTGTGCAGGTTTTAATTTTTCACTATTATTAATTTTTCTTTTTACAACTTTGACCCGTTTGTCATTCCTTTCATTTTCTTCAGCTTCTACCCTATTATTTTCTGGTGTACTAGTATATATGCATGACTTTACCTTTTTTCTACCACGCCTATTCTGCTTTGGTTCCAATGTAGGAAATGGTCGAATATCTACTAATTTTGCACGTTTAGTAGATTGTGCTACTCCTAGGTAAGATTTGTTAGCACCTCTTCCACTAAGTCCGTAATAAATTTCAGACTATCATCTCCCTTCATAGGCATGTTGGGGGTTTGAGTAAGAGCTGAATTGTTCATAGGATTTATTTCAAAGTCCGCAGAAGGTATTATTGGTGCAGGGATATTTTCCACTTGTAAACTTGTGGAAGGTCCATAGGTGAGCACCTCAGCCAAATCTGAATTGTCAAAACTAAGACTGTTTATTGGCCAGATTCCAGCTTTTTCGAAAGCCTTTGTTATATTCATAGGAGTAAATGATAACAAATGTGGCTGGGCTGTCAAACGTGCAATGTCGTAGATCGTTATTGCTTTGCTAGGGTTTGATAAAATGAAGTCATTGAAGGATATGACCTAATATTATATTATTTATCTATGGATATGACTTGCACCTAGCATTGAACGGGCCGTAATCTCCAATGTCCAGCGGCTGCATCCTGTTTGTGTGCAGTGAGGTGGAAAAGGAAGCTATTCCATGCTCTCTGCAATAATTAATTGCATCAAGTGAAGCATTAGTCTCGTGGTTATCAACAAGTAAGAGAACAGGATTTTCATGAGTACCTACTATGCATAATTCTGTTTGTGAATATGTTCCAATAATTTCCATTCTATCATTTACTGTCTGATTGACAATCATAAAAGTTTTTAGTTCTCGCCCGTGATCAGTTTTGTGCAACTCGTTGCTGTTGCCCAATTTTCTCGTCATGTCTGGCTACCCTCGCTTAGTTTAGCCTGCAGGTGCAGTTACCAGGGTGTAGTACGTGGCTTGTGAGGACCAGTTGCTTAAAAGCATTTCCAGTCTATGACTCTTGGTGTGTCCGTCTCAAACAAAAGTACTACCTATAGAAAGCAACTTAAATGCTAGAGGTATAAAGGGAAATTATTATTATTTTGTTTTAATATTAACTTAACGGTTAAGTAAATAATTTTATCGTTTTAGAAATCAATGGTAAAGATGTTTGTAAAACTCAGTAAAAATGAAAGGGAACTACTGATATACGATGTACCTAAGGACCCTAATGAAATGGAACTAAAAGAATCCATTAATATTGCAAATATAACGCACGTCGCTATAGGAAAAAACTGCAAGCATTCCATCATGTAAGTATAAAAATTATGAAAGTCTAGTTAATAATTACTGTTACGTCAGCCCGCTTTGATACGCCTATGCTAGAGTAGAAACTTCACCACATTCCTAGAAGCGGTGTCATGCCGGTAGAATTCAACTGCGTTCTATAAAATGTTCTATATGTTCTATTCTTTTTATAGAAAGAATATTTTAAAGAATGATTTTAATTAATATGAAGAAAATTAAATTGCAATCCAGAAAGTTGTTTATTGAAACATGTTAAATGTTCTATTTGTTTTTAGATGCAGATCTCCAGCACTCGCTTTCTCGATTTTTATAAATCACTCCGAGAGTCAAGTGAATTTTGCAGCACAAAGTATTAAGATAGCATCTATCTGGACCGATGGATTGAATATTATAACAGGTATATACTAATTTAACTATAGTCCGTCTAGAAAGTATACGGAAAAAAGAAAGCAGAATTATAATTTTACGGTATTTATTTCTACCACTTGAAATATAAAATGTCAACAAATAATTCATCGCATTTAGTTATACAACCTCCATTTACATCTAAAGTCTTAACTAAACGTTTAGGTACATCCGAAACTAGCTCAAGGCCATAATTTTCGATACTGGTGTTCCAGGCCTATAAAACTAACCCAATCAAACCTTCTTTGTCTCGTGACGCTGTTCGTTTCACTTTAATCTTCATCAGTCCCCATATGTTTTCAATGGGGTTAAGATCTGGAGATGCTGATGACCACGGAATTGTTGACAATTCGTGTTCTTGCATCCAAGCTTGAGTATAAGCAGAAGTATGGCATCTTGCATTATCTTGCTGAAAACGTCATCCCTCTGGATATAAAACATGAGCCGTTTCAAGAAGAAAACCATTTAGGATGTCACAATATTTCGCACTATCAACAGTACCATTAACTATACAGAGAGGTGTAGCACCACGCTGAGATATTGCTCCCCAAACCATTATTTTAGTGTGAAATTTGTAAATTTGAACGGTAACATTTTCTCTTGATAGGACATGCGAACATGCTTTTCCGAGTTCAGTCAATTGCACTAATTTTTTAACGTTTCGGACACACTTTCTATACAAATATTTCACCACTTTTCTTTTTACTACTTGCGAAATTATTTCACAAATCCTAAGTTTGTTTACAAATAACAATATTTGACAGATAGCATTGTTATGCGATTTTGTCCATAACCTACTATCGGCACAACCTACTTGATGCATTACTTTTGTCTTAAAATGTTACAAAAAGGAAATCTATTAAAATTGGGAAAAACATAAAATTCCGGATACTTTCTAGGCGGACTATATAATCCACAAGGAAACTAATTTCCTGTAGCTGGTTATATAAATTTGATATGATCCTGAGGTCGTTGTAGCCAATCTTCTTGGATTTCAAGACATTCATTAATTGTTCATGTCGTACTTTATCGAATGCCTTCTATCTTGATTGTCGTCCAGGCATCTTCGTATCAGTATATTAAGTGAAAAAGAGCTTCACACGTTCCTAGGCCTTTGCGAAAACCAAATTGTGTATCATTAACGTCTATGTCCAGTTTGTGATAAATCGGTTATGAATGACTTTTAGTAGTAACTTTAGCATATGATACATCAAGCTAATGGTGCGGTAATCGCTGCATTCTCTTGCGTTTTTCTTTTTGAATAGACAAATAAAAATCGTATTCCATATGTCCACCCTGCATAATGCCAAATTTCTGTCTTTATAATCGTTTTATTGCCTTACACGTAAATCTATTAGAATCGCCATCCTACAATTTGTAAATATTTCAATAATAGTGCATTCCCCTTCAACAAAATATATTTTTAGATTTAATGTTGATGATGTTGTCGATATGGGTTCTTTGTGTAAGCTATTCATACAAGTATCGAAAATTCACAGAGAAACATAAATCTATTTGAGCAAAATGTACCAGTTTTTTCTATTAATAATTACGAAGTGTTTTACAACTCTTTTTAGATAAAGGCCGAAGAAGTGACCTCTTCAGCGAAGAACTCGAAACATTAGTAGAAATGGACTTGAAACTTCAGCTTATCGAGTTACAAAATGTGTCCATACCAAAAAATCCCCCTCCAATTCCACCTCTACCGAAGCCAGTATTGCCCCCTAAACCAGAGATAGTGACGAGGAGAGAGAGATATTCAAGAAGACCTCCACCGGAAGTGCCAAAACAGAAAAATTAATAAAATTATTTTTGATGAATGTAATTTAGTTTTAGGTTTTTTTATTAATGCTGTTCGTTTTTTAATTAAAATATATTTAAAAATGCTGAATACATAAAATTTCTTTAGCTTTGGCTCTACAACCCTGGGCGGGTCTTAGCCCGTTCAAGAATTAGTCTCCATTCCCCCCTATCTTTCGCCCTGGCTTTCCAATTTCTGACCCCTAGATTCCTCAAGTCATCTTCGACTTAAGTTTAAAATCTAGATCTTGGCCTGCCTCTCTTCCTAGTTCCTACGGACTCTTGATATATCTGTCTATGGGGGGTTTTCAGTGTCCATTCTTTCAAGGTGTCCTAGCCACCTTAGCCTATTAATTTTAATAGACTGGACGATGTTGCATTTTTCATACAATGGACTACAGGAGTGATGACATAGATTTTATTGACATCTGTCAGTTTCACTTTCCAAACAAACCTTGTTTAGTGGGGATAATTTGTGTTTTTAGTTATTTTTTCATTTATTTTATAGAATCTTTCCGCTTTTTGCAATATGTAAGTATTCTAATAGTTACTACAACAATTTTACAAGGTTGTGTAAATAATAAAGCACATTGTTTTATGCTAATAGCTATAAAATGCATGTATCAATAAAGTAAGGTTAGTATTTCTTTAATTTAAACTATATTTCATAGAAATAGAACTCAGAATTATCGTAAAAAATACTATGCTTACAAGAAAAAGCAACAGAGGAAGCAAAATGTTAACTTTATAGATATTAAAAAGTCTTGAGTTTTGACATTTCAACTTTTGTTTGGAAAGTAATAATGACAAGTGTGTGCTTTTGTTTCAAGATCTAGTGGTGCCGCTATTTGTGTGCTGTTCGTGACCTTCATGTATTTTGTTTTGGATACTGTTACGATAAATTCTGACCCAAAATCGTAAATATATTTTACTAATATGTTTTTATTCATTCATGAATGTTCTAGGTATAACTACCTGACGAAAATCAGCCGAGCCGCTATAAAAACAAACCAGTTCCAGTTCATTCGAGAATGGGAAGTTCATTGTCACGAAGCGGGTCAACATCCATGGGGTCTCCCCTCGGCTATAATACCAATATGACGTCACATTCCAGTATTTTCTACAAGAGTCAGGTCAGGTCTAGGCGGTCTTACGGTGCTTTATATAAAGACGCAATTTTATTGAAGAAGTCAGTCATAAGAAGATCGGTAAACGCGGTACTTGTAACGAAACGAAAATAAATTATTTGTAATATAAATTAGAATTAATAAAGACTTTAATAAATTCGTAATTAGTTATCGTGAGTTTTAATAGATTAGAATATAGACAATAAATTAGAATAAAGACAAATAAATTAGAACTATATAAATATACAACAATACGTTGACCTGCAGTCCCATTGTCTTCGCGGCTTTTTCTAATTTTTCAAAAGCCTGTTTTGTCCGTGTTACTATGTCAATGTCATCTGCGTAGGTCAATATCTGTATACGTGTACACTTCTATTGATGATCGTGTCTCTGCTTGTTATGACCGATTTCTCTATGGCTGTCTCCCTGGCGTAATCCAGTATTCTTGACTTTGTACTCAACTTTCGAAAGAGTTGCTTACCAATGTTATTAGATGCGACGGAATATCTAGTTCTGCTATGGCATTATAAAGTACGCTTTTGTCTACACTGTCATAAGCGCTTTTAAAATCTATGAAGAGGTGGTGGGTATCAATTCCATATTCTTCTTATTCCCAGTAAAAATAGTAAATTGAGTCACTTACCTTACGTCAACTTCGGATGGTGTAGAGGACGGGAGATTGTGATGAAGGAAATGTGAAATGAAAGAAAAGAATTACAGTGCATAAAGATATATTTAAGTCTTCATGTACAAGCAAATATTACATAAGTTCCGTATAATTATTAGTCCTACAATTGAACGGGAACAGAGCGTATCCCCGCGCGAACGTGCTTGTTGTGCCAGGCGCAACATTTCATGAATGGCAAACAAACACCGGACTTAACCACATAGGAAAGAAAATATATATTCGATAAGAGAACAATGAATCACAAGTATATACTTGTCCCTTAATCGCCAATCCCTCATAACCTTTTTTGTTTAATTTGCGCAACTACTACATTTTACATATTATTTAGTATAATTTTTATAATTAATGTCTATGTTTTTCCCAGCTAGAGGGGATGGCCGCCGGCCATCCCGCTCAGCTTTTTCCTCAATTTGAAAAACTCCTCTTGCTACAAATTCGATAAAATGTATCCAAACTATAAGCGATTATAAAAGAAAAATCATATGCAAGTAACTACAAGTAATGGGTCTTCAATAATCATTTTATATACATCGAATGCGTTAAAACGACATACGTGAAGACTATTTTATTACAAACATTTGCCAGAATGTTTTTGACCTGTATAATGGGCCAAAGTACGATCAGATTATATCAATAACAAAAAATTAAAAAGAAAAAAACTAGATCTAGTATCTACTGCAAAAACTTGGTAGTCAAAAATCACAAAGAGAGAAGCTAATTTTCGCACGGTTTTTGGACTTAATTAAAAGACGCTTATAGTTCATGTTTTCCTTGTATGGTTACGGGTTCCACTTGGTCCACCCCTGTAAAACAAAAATCCTATTAATTTAAACATAAATAACATAATTTATTAATATTTTTAGCCATAAATATATAAAAATAAGTAAAAGGGAGGTATACTGCAACAAACTTAAGTTTGGGAATATGATTCATACATCGACGATGCGCAATGAATCGTGTTTACTAGTTTTACCATGGAAACGACCAGTGTGCTGCTTGGCAGTGTCGTAGTCTGAGAAGTACAAACGAATCAGTACGAATCACGGAGAGTATTTGACTTGTAAAACGAAAAAGACAGTAAAGATTAGATTTCACGTACAAAGCGTCTATGTATCTGTTTATACGCATTTCGGCCTAATAGGCCTCATCAGAACAGCCATTCATAGGCATTCTCAACGTGAAAAATAAATCTTTTCTGTCTTTAAGAAGCAACACTAAAATGGCTTCGATATGGACGCAATAGCGACATCTGATAATAATTCCGTAAAATAGTTTTCGAAACCAATTCAGATTTCTGCTTTAATCTGAACCTTCTAAAAAGTGCAAGGTAAACATATGTTGATAGAGATGTTAAAAGAGACATGGGGAATCTAAAACTTGCATTCCACGACACATTAAACTTCGCACGGCCGCTTCACCTGGTTTAGATGGTTTAACACCAAAACTGTTAAAAAGGTGCGCAGACACGCTTGTAATACCCTTAACGTTAATTATGCAAACCTCTTTCATCCAAAACTCCTTACCCCCTAGTTGGAAATTAGCTTCCGTTACCCCTATTTTTAAAAAAGGCAACAAACTCGACCCCAACAATTATCGTCCGATTAGCTTGCTGCCAGTAGTTGCCAAAGTTATGGAAGCCATTATTTTCCGAGGAGATGACCAAATTCCTTCTCCAGGAACATGTTATTCCAACACAACAACATGGATTTGTCTCTGGTCGCTCTACTCTAACCAATCTCCTACACTGTGTTAACGACTGGACCTCATCCCTTAACAGTTCGCAGCCGGTCAACGTTGTTTATCTAGATTTTTCTAAAGCCTTTGACCGTGTACCTAAGCGCAGACTTCTACATAAGCTAGAACATTTCGGAGTTCGCGGTACTTTACTTCGTTGGATAGATGATTTCCTGACAGATCGATATTACAAAGGTAGAGTTGGCAAATCTTTCGCACAGGATAGGTTAGTGGAAAGTGGAGTGCCTCAGGGTTCTGTCCTTGGACCTCTGCTTTTTACGGTTTACACCAGCGATATTCCTTATTATGTCTCACAATCCAACACACAAAAATATATGCCAATCCAAACACAAACCAGCTAACCCTCCAAATGGACTTGGACTCTATTTTAACTTGGTGTTCCAGTGGTTACTACCCTTAAACGCGGAAAAATGTGTAGTGCTTCGAATTGGCAAAAATAACCCACTTGTGCCGTACTTTGTTAACGGACAGCCATTAGAATCTGTGTTTTCGTATAACGATCTTGGTGTTATTGTGAACAGCAGCCTAACTTGGTCCGATCATATTACCTCTATTTGTAAACGTGCAAACTCCAGACTGTATCTTATTCGGAGGTGTTTTTCGGGAGTTTCAATGCAATTTTTTTTGCAAACTTTACACTTTGTACGTAAGACCCATACTTGAATACGCTGGACCAACGTGGTATCCCGATTTGGTTCGAGACAAGACTCTGTTGGAAAACGTTCAAAGAAAAGCCACTCGAATTTCTTTGGGACCGAGAAGACCGTCTTATGCAGAAAGACTTAGTATGGCTAACCTAACTACGTTTGAACTTCCACAACGTGGAGACTTAATTACAACATTCAAAATACTAAAATTCAATTTTGGAAACCTCGATGAAATATTTATCATAAACCAAGATGAACGCCTCAGAGGTCATCAATATAAACTAAAGAAAGAAAATTTTTCTATAAGACAAAGACAGAACTTTCTTCCAAATAGAGTTTTTGAGTGCTGGAATAACCTCAACGACAACATTGTCTCCGCTTCCTCTACCAACTCGTTCAAAAACAGACTCGACAGTTTTATATTATAGTTAAAATATTGTTTTTTCTTTTAAACCAAAAATTGTAATTTTATTTCTTTTAGTTGTAATTTTTGTTATTTACTAGTAGGTGATTAATGAAATTTCTTTGTTTTTTGGGCATAATAGGGACTTAGTTCCTAATAATAATAATAATAATGTCTCAATCAAGGAATGCATAGAGCATTCGAGAGCAATCAAGAAAGCAAGAATTAATAGATTTATTTTTATTTCAACCTGTGTTTTACTGAGTTCAAAAGAGCTACCCGTCACAACTCCTTGTCAGGAGAGAGGGTTTTAATTATATTTCTAATTCAGAATTATCATTTTTAACCCTTTAGAGTGCTTTTAAATATTAGAAATTACATTATAAATAAATATTTGTATTTGCAACAATCAGAGAATCATAAAAACAGAGAACTTATTAGAAAAATATTCAGGAGTAAATGTTT